ATTTCTATAACAACGAAAAAGAGAATAGTCGAGTGGTGTGGTGCGTTGGTTCGTTTCGGCTGAGAGCCCAATCTCTCGGTTGGAGTAGAAGTTTCGTCATTTAGAATTGAGAAATGTGGGTTATGCTGGAGAACCATTCGTACTTCTGTCCGCAAGTGAGTGCTTATTTAGTAAATAGTTGTTGCTCATCGCTATGATTATTGTAATTTGCTACTGAGAGACGGTGCGAATATCAGCACCGCCAGGCCAGTTGCGGTCGAGACCTTTGCCCCTTTATACGGCAGTTTCTAAGCGGTTGCCCACTCGATTATCGTGGCCATCTGGGTCACTAGTGATATCGGCCCAAATCAGAAATGTCGCGAATCATAGAGAATAGAGAAAAATATTTGAGGCCATCTTAAATCGTAGTTTATTGCTTTCATTTCGTAAAGCTCTGCAAATATTTCGTAAAATTCTAGGAAATTCTAAAAAAATTTCACATTACCTTTTGTGTCAAAGGTCAGCAGTGAAGCGACATGTTAGAGATATTTCTACTTTTGGATTTTCAGTTTAGTTCTATTCAATTTCTTCGTCCATTGATTTCAAAATCACCTTTTGACCTAACTGAAGTTGCCTTAAGCTGCTCTGCTTCTTGACCCTTATCGATGCACAAATACTTAATTTCATTTTCGTTCTTCTTAAAGGTTAAAATTATTGCTTGAAAGGCTATCACCTAGATTTATTATACTTGACCTAATAATTTCAGTCATCTGTAAAAAGGTCCATTTTTTCTGAACTGTTAGAAATGTTAGGAAGTTAAAAAGGTCAAAGGGTGGTGTTTCAAGTTCGAATATTATTATAAAATAATATTATTCAGTGGCTGATTATATATTAACATTAATGCGTTCGTAGCGAGAGGACGGTTTCAGCTCATTAGCTTCCAGGCTGTACTAGACTGGGCTACTGTTATTCGGAGCAAAATCCTAATGATTCTGGAATTCGCTCTCATTTAAAATCTTAAAAGCCACGATTAGTAAGGAAATGATAAGTGCTATTAGAATTGGAAAAAATTCATTTGTGCTGCTACACCCGCGAAAAATGAACCTTTGGTGCTTATCTAAATGTACTATATTGAAGGTTTCTTCGTAAAATATATCAAACACGTGTTTTAATTGTTCATCACGAAGCGTCGCCAAAAATATTGACTTTTACTAGAAAAAAATGGAAGGAAAATTGGAATATTTATAAATTGTACGAAAAATCCGCAAACTTCATTCATAATTTTCTTATAGAAATGCAATTTTTAAATGAATTTAATGTTTTATCGCGAGGATTTTGGTGCGAAAGGCTGGAATGTGATCCATAAGAATTCCGATAGATTTTATTTTTATTCAAGGAATTCGGTAAGAATGATTGAAAAGCATCAAAAATAAGCATATAGTATTCATCATTTCTGGTTAGGCTGGTTGTTAGTACGGCGAAGAATTTTAGCCAAAGAATCATTCAGCGATAGAAGCATAGGTGGGTCACCAGCCTTTCCTGTATTTTTCAAAGACGTTCTTGTCGGGAGCAGAAACCAAAGTCTCGCTTTCCAATTTAAGAAGTTGGTATACATCCCATAAGGACTGAAACCGAAGTCGGATAGCACATGATGACTCCACGATAACTGTTTAAAATTGAAGTGAGGTTTTATTTTATTTGTTAATAATTATTTGTTCATCCACAGGTTAATTTTTTATAAAAAATGTTTAATTTTTTAAATTGTGGCATAGCATTGCCATTGTCTTCGTTTCCTCATCTTCATTACCATCATTTTCACCATTGCACCATTCATTTTCCTCTTTCATTCTCAAATCCATTTGTCATCACTTTATTATTTATTTATCTACAAATTGTGCACTGCACTTTCTTGTGCACATTCATGCACATGCGCATTCTCTTTTTTATTTGCGCTAAAAAAAGCATTGCTTTCACTTCAAGTAGCGAAATAGCATCGCTGGTTTGGTTGGTTTCACTAATGGCTAGAATAACTCGTTCGTTTCCCGATCGTGCAACATGCATCTTTCCATTAATTTTTTCCCTTTATGTTTCAGATCTTTTTCATGATTTTAGGGTTATAATAGGATTCTTTACTTCAAATATTCGATCACTTGGACATCAATGCGTCAAACGTTATTATAAGCACTTGCAGTCTGGGATGCATTTTGTCATATATCTTTTATTATAAGTCCTTATGGACTTGCATATATCAGTTTTCAGCGATTTGCGATTAGTGAATAGTGAGCATGTTTAGTTGTATAGCTGCACGAAACGTGTAGAACGTATAATTTACACACGAGTAGCTTTTTTTTGTCAGACGTGCCTTCATTATCACGCATTTATAACGAACCATTTGCATGTAACTGTTATAGAATATAATTTAAATCGATGACAAATCTTTGCACGTATGCCTGCGTGCTGCACTATACACACCACTGTATGCATATCATATATGTAACCTTCCGCATATTGTACATCCAATAGAACCTACCACGATGTGCATTATAGTTCGTGCATTTGCCACATTTTATACTCCATATTCCATATTCTGTTGGACATTTTATACACGAGTCACACGCGCACAAGGAGGCACTCTTACACACACATACACACACACACAGACATACACACACATCTCATTGTGATTACGTTTATTAGCGTTTTTGACTGAATGATCGTTTTCATTTTTTTTACATCTGATTTTTAGATTATTGATTTTTTGTTTGCTTAATTATTTGTTTATTTGTCCGAACGAAAAAATCAATAAAGTTATTCATTCATTTAAAAAACTGAATTCGCACTAAAAACTGAGTTAGTGTACCATTTTGCGCGAATTTAAACGTCGAAATGTAATAAAATTTTAATTTTAATCGGCTCTCGATTTCTTAAAATTATTTGTTATTGTATTTTTTTGGAATTTTTTAAAATTAATTTTTATTTAAACAATTTTTGTTTATTTTTATGCGTTAGATTTGTGAGAGAAGTATAACGTTGAGGCGGAGGGCGTTTTATTCATTTTCTTTCTTCTCTTTTCTTTATTTTAAAATAGCGTCCAAGTGGAAATTTATCGATTGATTTTTAGCGTTTGAAATAATTAATATCGATTAATATAGAAAATTTTTGAGAGAAGGCTTGTGAAGCAATTTATCTATCTATTCACCGATACAGTATTATAAAAAAATTCTTTCCTCACTCGCTGCGGTTAACTGCGCACCCTTGACTGTCCAGTCCCGCCATCCTACCCGTCAACCCCCCCCCCCCCACCTCGCCGACTTTTGGTTCCCTTTCTCCTTTTGGTTTTTTTGGTTGCTGAGTTTTCTCTTTTTTTCTTGGCGTATTTCTTTTTTTATGTCTTCCTGTTTCTTTTTTTCGTGTAATTTGCATAATTTTCTTTTATTTGGTTTACGCGGTTTGAATCACGTGAAAAAATTCTTTGCCTTTTATTAATTAGATTTGAAACATGGAAATTATTTTTTCACTTGTGGATTTCGTCGTATTTTTTCCTTTTTCTTTTCAGGAAATAAATAATTTAATGAAATTTTTCATTATAGAAAATAATTGGTCGACATATCGATTAGAAATTTGCTGGTTAAATTCAATAATTTTAATGTTAGTCGTTTCTTTATTTATGAGAGTTTTAGTTCCATTCACAAATTTTTCCTCAGCAAAGGCCTAGAATGTCGATAGGGGCGTAATAACAGAGTATTACCCAGATTATTATTATCTGTTTTGACTTTGCTTTCGACTTAGAGCTATTAAAAACCCTGTGAAAATCCATCCATCTGTTACCCCCAAGAATTTGAAAATTTCTCCTCAGAATAAGCCAGTGAATAAAGCTAACCAGGAATAGTGGGTGCTAACTGTTTTTATTGATAATCTCGCCCTATAGTGAGAGAGATTAACAATTAGGTGGACTAGAATTTTAGTTCCATTGCATAAATTTGAAGGGATTAAAAAGGCTTCGAGTCAGAATTAAAAGAAATAAATGAAAGAAATGAATAAAAAGGAAAGGAGGATAAAAATGGATTAATCAAATAATTGCAATATTTTCTATATTTTTTATCGGTGAGTAACTTTGAGATGCTAAATGGGTCTGTGATTTTGTCGAAGAATCCTGCTTCCACTCCTGTGTTGCTGAAATGGGATATACTTTGTGAATGAAACGGTGAATGCTGCTAAAAAATAATTAAATAAATCAAATTCTTCTTATAATGTACTGGCATTATAATTGATTAGGTTGGCTTCACTGGAATAAGACATTTCCACCTTCTCTTTTTACCGCTTGCCATGCCTCCAACACCTGAGCCTGTAAATTAAAGAACAGCCTATAAATTTAAAATCTCTCTCGATCATCTTAGTCCACATCTTATTTAGCCCTTCTCGTTTTTGCTGCCTTTCATCACAATTTTAGCAGTATTTGAGCAAAATTTGAAAGCATTCATGTGAAACTGTATTTGCTTTATCTGATATTTAGGATATACCTTAGGCAAAAATAGCAAATTGTCAATTGCCTAATGTTCCACTCATATAGACCATGCTAGGCAGCCATGTACCTCACTGCAGCTAGATAGATGAGAATTTTTGTTTTGATGTTGATTTCGTGACTGTCCCACGAAGGAAGAAGGCATTACTTGCTGTGCCGAGTTGAAATTTAGTCTTTTGTCCATCTGATGTAAGAGCAGATCCAAAATGTTTAAAGTTGTTGAAAAATAAAAAAATAAAGCAACAGTAACAATAGAAATAACTAAAAAATGAATAAAAAACATGATTAAATAGTGTCCAAATAGTGTTCTCCCTCGAAAAAAATATGGAGAGAAAAGAATTTTATTTAATAAGCCAGTTTATACTGATTAATACCTTAAGTTTTAAATTTTTTTGGAAGAATCGTGATAATTTGTGGATTTTTAATTTTGTCGATTTAAGGTTGTAAAGCTTGTTATGTATTATATAATTTGATTGTCAATTTACGGCAAAAGAAAAATATGGCAACGAAGTCTGAACATCGACGTCCTCCAGAAGGTACATCAAGAGGTTTACATGAACAGATTGATACTCATTCTCCCGACGAAACTCAAATCAATGGATTCGATGAGGTAATTTGTATTTATCGAAATTCTTTGGTGAATACCGAATTGTTTATCAGAGATGATAACATTATAACATTTATTATAATGTTATAACGGATTATAATATTTGAAGCATGGTGCTTTACTCTTTCTTCTCGTCATTTCGAAGTCTAGTGTAAGCTGCAGATTGCTTTAATAATGTATAATGTAATGAAAGTTAGGGACCGTTTTAAGTCTGACGAAAGCTGAAGTTCTTTGATAGCCTGATGAAAGTTATGGATTCCTTTGGAGAATGAGAAATGGATTTCTTCAGTAGCCTGTTCAATAGATCATGTAATAAAAGGCTTGTTTATAGTCATATTTATAACAGAAGAGTTTTTCTGTAGTTCATACATTTTGAAATCCGTACATAAATATTCTACCTTCACTAAAAATCATTTTATAGGGTTTGCGGCTGACTGGTTAAATTTTTGAATCGTTTTAAAAGAACTTGTCTTTACCAGGGCGTATTTAAAGAGCCCTTTATAGTCCCACAAAAAAATCCAAATCGGTAACTGTTCCATGAAACCAGAAAGAGTGAAAAAATAAGAAAACTGAGTAAAAGTTTTGATAACCCTATCGATTTCATCGTAAAAGTGCCCTTATTTATTTTTATTCAAATATTTTATTTTTTTATATTATTATGTATTTTTATTTAGAACAGTTCATGTCCTCCAATGTCAATGTCTTATGAGGCTAATAAGCCTCAAAGTAGTAGCAAAAATGCTTTAACGAATTGTGAAAACGGCTCACAACCAGCAATTGATCGAACTTATCAAGCATCATTCCGACGTAGGAGTACTCGAGCATGCGCCATAAAGGCAGCTGAACGAATTAAGTTAAAAGAATCGCTTACTCCGATTATGGATGGTTTAGCCTCTAATAGCGTTTGTTTTTCTGTTTATTTTAATAAGGCAGTTTTATGAAAATGTTCTTTTATTTTTCGAATATTACTATTATAAAACTATCCGAAGCAGTTTTCATTATCCCATTTATAAAAAGTGCTTTCATCATGGAATTGTTGGATGATTATTTATTTAATAAATTGCCCATAAAATAAGTTCTAAATTAGTTATACAGAAAAAAAATAAAATATTTAATAAAATCCAGTTTTTTTTATGGAAATTTGGGAAGAAACAAAATAATTTGTGTTTTTCAAAGAGAAATTTTGTAAATGTGGATTTTTTATAGATAGGAGGCATAAAAGTCAAATAATTTTATATATTTTTTCAAATAGGCTGTTTTAAGAGAAATGGTTTATGAATTTTTTTCACAAATTATTTTTTATAAATTATTCGTTTTGTTTGACAAATATTTTTTTTGTATAGTAAATATTTATTCCAGGGAGAAGGATATATGTCGTGTGATGAGGATATAAATGAAGATGGTCCGAAACCACCAAAGGTGAGAAGAATGGCTGAAGGGAATTGTCTCGATCAGATGAATAGTAGGTTTGGAATTAAAATGGACGGCGATGATGTTTTATTAATGACGAGTGAATCGGAATTTTCTAGTTTAGATGGTGAAGAGTTCGAACAAATCAAAAAATCTTATGAGAAAGTAAGGCTGATAGTTTTTCAGCGATTTCATTAAGGCTTTATTAAAGACATATTCATACATTTCTTTAATTTATCTTTTTCTTTAATTTATCTTAAAGCTGTAAGATTGATTGGCTGATTTAATGGCTGGTTGGGTCAATGGTAGCTTCGATCGAGTTTCTTTTTTCGACTCGCTACTGTTTGAGGGAAACCTATTTAAAAAGTTAAATCTTTGTGATGACAGGTATGAATTCACCCGTAAGAATTCCCAAGAGATTTTTTGACAGATGTCAGCTTAACTAGTAATGGTAAATGCTGATGAAGGAAGGGGGTCGACCGTCATTCACATTGTATAAGTTTTTCTTAAGATTTTTTAAAAGATTCATTATTTTTATCTAATTTACTTATGCGGTTGTTTATTTCATTTGTTCATTTTCATTTTTATTAATTTCAGACAGTGCATAAAGAAATGGCTGAAAACCAACGGCGTGAAACTGAAATGCAAGTGAAAAAACTTGAGGCTGAATTGAGAGCAGAGGAGGCTAAGTTGATAATACTTAAAAAAGTGATGCTTAGTCAGAAAGTATCCTTTAAACAAGTATTTTTTTTATTTTATTTGATATTTTTCTCTATTTTATTATTAGAATATTTATTAATATTGAAATAATAAATAAAAATAAAAATTAAACATTTTTTGGAACTATTCTTTTAGCTGCTTATTTTTTTGTAGAAATTGAAATATTAAAGCATATTTCATCTCTTACTTAAACAGTTTATCTTGTTTTTTTTTCAATCCACTTTTTATTTTACGTTTTCCTTTTTTTTTAAGATTTTTTTTCTATTTATACAAAAAATTTCGTCTTATAATGTATACTGTGAAATTGCGAAGTTTTTGGTTTTTCAGCTACAAGAAGCAAATGTTCGTAAAATGACAGCGAACGTATCACAGAATGGTAGTGGTAACGCTTATAAACCACCAGTTGCGACACCTCATAATCGTACGAATGTAAATTCATCAACGTGTCAGAGCAAAGGTATTTTGTGGTTTTCATTCAAATATCTAATATTTAAAGCATTTTTTCTGGTATTAAAAGGAAATATTTGAAATTTTTATGACGAATATAAAAAGTAAAATGTTTTTTAATCGTAAAATATTTCACATTTTTTTGTATGATGAATAAAATATTAAAATTCCTCATTCTTCCATGCATTTTTCATTCATTTATTTAAAAAAAATTTTTAAATGCAAATTTATTCAAAATAGATGGGTGTTTGATTAATGAATTGTAATGTTGATTGGAGTGAAGTTTAAAACTGATTTGGTTTTTCTATAACTTTTTCAGTTGTTTCAAATGATGTCGTTTGATTGAAGTTGTTGAAGTACATAAAACTTTAGGCTAGGAATTAATTAAGGGAGAATTTTTGTTGTAAAGAAATAATTTGTTTTGTGCCAGTTGAATTCTAGGTTCTTCATCTATCAACAGTTCACGTGTTGCAGCATCAGCAGCTCAAGCTCTGATGAATTTAACACCACAACAACAGCAGTTACTTCAAAATGCAGCTAAAAGTGGTATATTGAATACGGTTGCTGCGCAAGCCCTATTGCAACAAGTTCAGCAGGCGCAGATGAATGGTGACTTGCTTTTTTGAGAAGTCTAATTTATTTATTTATTTACTAATTTATTGATCTCATCCTGGATAATGATTTTACGATAATAAGGTGAAATGCATTTAATTTTTTAAATTTTTTGAACAATTTATAGGGCGTGTAAATCCTCAGCATGCAGCTGCATTGGCTGCATTTGCTCAACAGCAACATCCATCTAGAGGCTCGAATGTGGCGAATCCATCCTCAGCCAAAGAGTCCCCAGCTCAGAAGGCTGCCGCTGCGAAGCTAGCACTTCATCGACAGCTAGAACAACAATTATTGCAGGTCAATTAAGTGTTTAAAAATATTTGAAATTTCATTTTTGGTGAATTCCTTTTTATTAGTGAATTTTTGAGATGATAGGCCATTATTTCGAATTTTGACTTTATTATCCATAACTTCATTCATTCCATTGCAGATACCACCACCGCAACCTGCGCCACCCGATATGCATTTCATACCTAATGGCAACCAACCTGATTTTTGTTCTCTTTTGGGAATAGATATAATTGTACAAAGGCTTTTAAAAGATAAAAATGCTACCAGGTGAATTTCGATGTTTTTTTCGTAAGAGCGCTTACCATTCCTGATTAAATCCGCGATCATGTTGGTATATTGGCAAATTTTGCCAGGGAGTGGCCTAGCGATTTACAATTTTTTTTTTGATAATTATTTTGAATTAAAATTTTTTACTTTTATTTCTGTTTATTGGCGTTAATATTAAAGTTATCACATTTGCTATTACTATTATTCTTTGTTATCGTTATTTAAGGCGAGTCAGTGAAGAACCGTACATATGTGAAGAATGTGGTAGCGATTATACTCCAATATGGAGAGCCATTGGTGCAGATAGTGATTCATTGCACTTATATTGTGAGGCTTGCGTGAAAGCAGCTCAAAAAAAGAAAATGCGTCTCGATCATACGGCTGTATTAAGATCAGCTTTCAACAAAGTCCTGGAGAAAGAACAGGTTAATCATAATTTTCCTTTAAATTTTCCATTCATTTTATGAATATCTTGGACTTTTTTTTTTGCTGAATATGTTTTCTGTTAAAACTTTTATTTACATTTTTGCTTTGAGGAATTGGATAAACAAATAGCAGAGGGAAAATATGATAATCCTGCTCCATCATCTTCGACGCCTCGATCAGGAACTCCTGCAGCCACACCACCTTCAAGTAAGACGCAAATATCGATATCTTCTGCACAGGCTAATACATCGAAATCAGTTTCATCTTCAGTAAGTTCTGATTTTATGTAAATATAGCCGAAAATTTTTAAAAATTTTTTAGAAGATAGTAGATAGAGGATTTTCAATTCGATACACATTTCGAAAAATTTCTTTGGAAAGAAAGAATTTGAAGAAACATTTTATCTTATTTGATATTTTATAGTCTCAAGGTCATCCCCACCATCACTCTCAATCTAATAAACATAGTAGCCATAGACGGCCAAATATTGGGACGTCATCAGGAAACAATGCACTTACGTCTCATAATGCTGGTGCCGCAGCTGCAGCGCTTGCAGCTACGTCATCTAATACAAATCCAAGTGTCTTATTACAACAGCAGATGGCTGCAGCGGCTGCTCTGAGGCATACAAATCCAATGCTTGCGGCAATGATGGCTAATCCGTTACTTAATGCTCCTAATATGTTACAGGTTTTACTGATTTTCAAAGTTTTAAGATATATTTTTTATTCTGAAATTTTTTTAAAAATTTGTGATGTAAAGTACTGCTTTTATTTCACCAAAATCATTCGTCTTATTTCTAGATGCCGTGGAATCCGTTATTACAACAGCGGTTACCGAATTTCGCAATGGCTGCCCTGGCCCAAGCTGTTCATAGTGCTCAACAAAGTGGTGGTGCAAACGTGGCAAATCCGAATTCAGCTGCGGCAGCAGCTGCAGCTGCAGCTGCAGCTTCTCTTAATCCACTTACTGCGTTGGCAGCTACAATGAGTCCAGCAGCAGCTGCTATGTTTAGTAATCCTCAAATGGTAAGGCAGTTCCAACAAGCTCAACAAGTTATTCATCGGAATATCCTTTTAGAATATGCCAAAAATCAATCGAAAAAATAGTCTTTATTAAAGATTTATTATGGGTATATTAAAGGCATCGTTATTGTAACTGTTATCAATTCGAAAAACCAGTTGTCCATCTCCATCTTGAAAGTTCAATGTTAAAAGTCATTGTATATTTTCGCTCATCTTGGGCTTAATTGTCGCAATTTTGCAATGAATTAAATGAGATGGATTAGGTTTTTTTTTTTTTTTTTGCAATGGCTTACAATTTTGTTAGACGATTACATACAATGGTATTTATAAATGAAGATTATTATTGAATGGTTATGTCTTATATCGTTATTTTCTTAGAGCCACTTAATCGAGGAAACCGAGAGACTGGGGCTTAGTTTGACTTCAAACGAATATAGTCCACTATAAAATTATTCAAACTATGTAAGCATTCCTTTTTTAAGAAAATTTGATTCAAGAAAAATGTGCTTTCACATATAAAATGATAGTTTATGCGAGAACGGAATGTCTGCCAATTTATTTTTCATTCCTTATTAGTTTATTAATCAAATTTGAACTTTGCCATTTTTTTATTCAGCGATTTTAGTAGTTTCGAAACTTGTACCGACCCTTTTTTTGCTTGTCGGATGGTTTCTTGGTTCTAGTGAGGTCAAGCATCGAAGCTTTTCTACTTCTTGATGTCAATTAAATTGAAGTTCGAATTCGAATGATGGTGGTAACCCATTTCCTTCTATTTTCATGTGGCTGTATTTTGCTAGGGTCGTACTTTAATGTTCATTGGTGTTAATTAAATCAGAAATAACTGATATGCCAATATTTACCAATTTGTTGAAAATTTACAATCAAAAATGTAAAAAAATTGCGCTTCCTTACTAAATGTTTCTCTAGTCATTCCGTTTTTTCGCACATCTCTGTTAGTTACTATGAATGCATAGGTCGATTTTTTTTAGTTCTTTCTCTCGGTTGATATGAATTCTTGATTTCGGTGTATGGAGAAAATTATTGGATAGGACGATTTTCGATTTTTGCAATTTTTCATCTTATTGGTTTTCAAAGTTAGGTAGGCATATGTATTTTTTGAGATATATCTGGATCAGATGTTTTTATTCAATCGATCTTTTAAATATGGTTTAAAATTATAGGCAAGGGAATGGCGTATCCGCTGTCAAAAATACTTGTAATATTATTGAAAATTTATTTCTTGAATTTAACTCGTAAGATTTGTGATTTGTACAGTAGTTTTTGTTTATTATATTTTAATACTATTTTTATTGAAGGATAGTGATTTGTATGGTACTAACGATGATAAGCAGATATGGATCCGATCATTTTTTTCTTTTTAGTAGGAAAAGTAATTAAATAGAGGAATTCGTAACCGAACGAAAGGAATAGAAGGATCTGTTAAAATGATGAAGCTTTTATGATTGTAGATATCAGGTTTTTCATCGATCTCATTTTCATGATCGGATTAACCAAAGAGATTTCGACATTTTTGATCGAATATGTTGCATAAATATTCCCTACAAACTGACATAACAAACCATGGTGATAATCTTAACTATTTTGTTTTTTTTATGCGTTTTCCATTCCTCATAATTCTTAATTTTTATTCCTCATTGCAATCATCATATTACAATTTTGTGTGTTCCAATAACGATAAAAGGTTTGTGCAAATTTTTTAATACGTGAATAACAGATGTGGTTACCATTCCTGGTTAGACCTGCCCAATTGACTGTCAGTGCGTTAAGGAATTTTTGTGAAGAAATCATTTGCAGATATGTGATTGGATTACCATCACCACCAAGTTATATTAATTACATGGAAAATCGACGACAAAGAAAGATATTAGCATGAACGACCAGATAAACTGTTCAAACTGAGATGAAAAAATAAATAGTTACAATGGAAGCAGCAATTTGCTAATTTGCTTTTACCAGATTCGCAGGGATAATTCATCGTTTTCACAATGTTTCAATTTGTGAAACCCTTATAAAATAAACAACCTGCAATATTGTGAGAATGGCTGGACCTAAATGGCTTTTTCAGCAAAGATTCCAAATGTATTGCCATATCATTAAATCCAGGAAAGATTTAATTTTTTGGACTGAATTAAATAACTTTTGGCGAGAAGGCCGGGAATTTCGTGGATTTGATTTATGATTTTCGTCTCAGATATTTTAACCAATCTTCACAAAGATTCAGGGATTAAAGGATTTGAGATGTGTTTAATGTTTTAATATTAATTATTAAAATATTTAGCATCTCTTAAATAGCAAATACGATAAAAATGTAAATGGGTTGCGAGAATCACTCAAATTTTTTTTGCAACAAATTTATTACAGGAGTCAGGATCCTGATACTTGACACTTGACACATAATGAATGACTAGTCAGTTATCATGCCTACGGCGTTAATTGTGGAATATAATCTTTTGAAAAATTTTTTTGTTAACAAGCAGTCGTATCAAGAAATTGTTCTTGATTTATTTTGATTTGGCGGTGAATTATTTCTCAATTTCTGATAATTCAACTAAGTTCCTTTAAAGTTAAAAAAATTTTTTTTCAAGTAAAGATGGAAATAAATTATATATTAAATCATTTAAATTATATAAATTGCAAAGAATGCATATATATTAAATAATTTTGTTTTTATTTTTCGTTTTTTTATTTTTCATCCTTAATTTTTTTCTTTTCTTCTTTTTTTTTGTCTTTGTCTTTGTGGTTTTATGGTGGAAAGTTCAGATCTTGACACGACGTCCGATGCCCATTATACTCATTATACTCTTAGCGTGATGGTATATGCGATAAGTGTGCAATCCAGACTTAGGCAAAGCTTAATATGATCTGCTCGCAAGCCGAGCGATCACCCTCTTTTTAAACATCGTGTGGATGTCGCTTGCTTGTCGGAGATCTATCTTCCCCACTTCGGATCTCGAACAATTGCTAAACCTGGCTCCGAGCAGAGGTTTATCACTGTGGTATTTCGAAATACTTGGGGCAAAATGGCACGATGATTATTATGTCTGAAAAAGCTTGATCTGCTTTGAGTGGAAGCAAGTGAGCGACCGCATGGCCTGTGCTTGTTTCAAAGGACTTTCTGCAATATTTTGGTGTATATGGTCCAATTTCAAGTGCAGTTGATTGCGATAAGGATAAGTTCTATGCGGAACTTCAATTTTTAACAATATCTTTACCGAAAAATGACAAGATCACCATGGACATGGAGGAGAATGGATTGCTCGTATGATCATGATGATGCTACGATAAACTCGGTGATTGAGAAATATGGCATCGATGCCCGATGTGCCTTCTCCGCTTTGCCGAACAGCATGTGCTCTTTGTTCTTAATATAATGTTTTCGGCATTAGGGAATATCTAGTTTTGTGGAATTCTACGATAACCAACACTCCAACCAGATTGATTATATTTTAATCAATCACCACTGGAAGGGTACAGTACTAGGTAGTCGTTCCTATCGGGGCGTTGAAACTGGTAATTTTTATGGATTGGACCATGTTCAAGCCAATATTCGCGTAAAATTAACAACTGGAAACAATTCTTCCAAGATCTTTCAACTGCCTCAAACTGAAAGATTCGGAGCTAATAAGTTATTTCAAACCGAATTATTGAAGCATCTCAGTGAAATGAACATTAGTGATATCTCTGGAACGGCAGATGAATATTGATCTCGACTAAAGGAATGACTGTGAAATTCAGCTATTCCCTACGCTAGGATATGCTACTAGGAAATGCAATAGTATCAGAAACAAATATTAAGCTGTCTGAAAAGGCTGCCAAAGCTTATATCAAAATATCAGAAGTTCCTAACTATTGGATGCTTTGAAGAAGTACAGTGACTGCAGTACGGCGGGAAAAAACTGTTGGAGCGAGATGAATCTGTGAATAAAGACGGCGGCTCGATTAGAAATTGTTTGAGGCCAAATTTAACCACGATGCGCCACCTATTATCCCGCATATAGCTGCTTCGATCGATGACCATACGTTTACAATTCGAACCGCCAACAGAAAAGGAAATAATCTCTGTTATTCATAAGTTAAAGGCCATCAAAATCCTGAGAGATGTTTTTCGGGCTAAACTCTTCAAATATATTGTCCATCATCCTTCATATCTACAAATGTACTATCTGGTGTGGTAAAAAGAAATAATACCCAGATGATTGGAGCAAGGCCATTCTGCTTCCAATTACTAAGATAAAAGGACGTATTATGAAAATTATCGAAGAATCGGCTTATCAGTTATCTCCGGAAAAATTTTTGCTTCCCTTCTGCTAAACAGAAATGAATCATGGCAAAACAAGACAACAGAATATAACATAACCAAGCTGAATTCGAAAGGAGTTTTTCCAACCAGATATTCACGCTAAGAAGGGTGCTGGAAAATTGTTTTAAATATCAACAACCCACCGTCACTTGCTTCATCGATTTTGCAGCTGCTTTCGATTCAGTTAATAGGCTCTTTAGATAGTAACGCGACAATTTTCCACAAAAGATCATTCGACTTATTAAGGCATTTTATCAGCACACGTCGGCGCAGGTATGTATATGTGGGGTGATAGACCTTTTGAAATAAAAACTGGTTGGATTCTCTCCTCTGCAATATTCAACCATGCGATAGACTGGATAAGGACATCGCTTATCGGCACTTAAGAAATATACAAATAAATCCGAAGCATAGTATCAAAGATCTTGAATACGCTGATGATATAGTCCTTTTTGCTAATAGTTATGACGAGATGGAGATAATGCTAGATAACATATCAGCAACTGCAGCGAGAATCGGTCTCAGGGTCAATGTGAATAAAACGATGTTTTTTCCACTATACATGAAGCTGATAAAATACTTATTTTTTATCAATTCATTTGTCAGTTAAGTGCCCGATTTTAAATATCTTGGATCCACTCTAATCCCAAATGGCCAGCCAAAAGAAATTACAATCCGGATAACGAATAGAAATGCGTTCTTCCGGCTTTATGAAACCTTTATGGGAACGGTTGTGAAATCATCATAACTATAATTGAAGTTCTCTTGCCATATGGCTGCGAGACATGGCCGATGAGAGTGAAGGATATTAAAAAGCTAACTCATATCTAAGGTACATTCGCTGAGCTGATAAAATCGCGCATGATTGCATCGATCTTCGCTCAAACACCACTTGCATTAATAATAACATCATAATACTACCAGAACATCATCTTCGCTAGTTAGGACACGTCATTCACCACAATATTTGACACATATTTCTTACTTTTTTAAACCCTGTGATGGACTGCGTCAAAAATGAGATGGACTAATCAGGATGGATTGACACAGTCAGGAAAAATTTTGAACATATAAGTGGACTAGAGATATATGGACTTAGTAGACTTTAAATAATGAAAAAAAGAATGGTTTCTATTATTATCTGCTGTGGCATCGGACCGAACAGCTCGGAGATGTCTAATCCTTATAACCAAAGGAGCCAGTCTAACCAGTAATGCTGCGAGCTATTAGAAGATTTTTTTCATTCAATTACAATGCCAAAACTGGTCTCTCAAAATTGCTGAATATGCTGAAAATTGCTAGATTTCTGGAAACCTTGAAAATTCCTCATAAGAAAGAAAATAGAAACCAAGCGGCAATTGGCCAGTTTTTTCTCTTGAACCTTTGATGATAAAACCCAGCCATGGATACTATCGATATTGCAAGTATATTTAATAAATATTTTTCTAGTATATTATATTTGCTCTCACCAAAATATCAATTTATTTCAAATAGATTTAATAGATTTATCAAATAGATTCGCCAAAGAATCGATTGAGATAAAATATATGCCAGCAGTATAACCCGAAACCTAACTCTTCAGAAATTAAATAATGTTGACTTGGAAAAATTCGTCACTTATTTTAAATCAAAATGCTTCAAAATGCTTGATAATTTATTTTAAAATTCAAATTGGAGGATTTTCCGCGCTCTAATTACCAGGTTCATTAATACTTGCATAAAAAAGTAAAAAACGTTGAATTTTTCAACTTCTAAGGCATTTAGTTGAAAAAAGCACAAATACAATACAAATAAAATGCGATTTTTTAAAAAAATCTCGAAAAAGTAGTTTCGCCAATACAATGAAAAAGTATAAGTAAAGATTCCATATGCAAAAAGAAAAGGAACACTTGAATTATCATGAAGAACTCTTACAAATCTCGTTATATATATTGAATCCCTCAATGAGGAATCCCAAATCTAAACAAATACAGGCAACAAAGAGTAAAACAATTAAATTGAGGCTGCAATGGTATTTACATGAGAAATTTATTTTCTTGAAATTTCCAAAAAATCAGCAAAAAAACGCTAGGCATATATAGATAATAAAAAAGAATTTTTTCAAATATTTGTTTAAATATTTTAATTTTTTTTGAAATGACCAAAGAACTGCCGAAGTATTTGCAAGAATACAATTCAAGAAGTTAAAAGCAATAACTCTTTAAGATTTCCTAATTCGGTTATATTTAGAGTTTATATTTAGAGTAACCGAGTAGTTATTGCTTAGAATATCATCTCTAGCCTCATTGTTCAGCGCTGCCTCGATATGATTAAAAAATCTGAACCGGACGCAGTTGTACTTTTATCCTCAAGTGAAATTTGTTTCAAATACTAACAATGAGACTTGCCTAACCAGAAATAACGCATGCAAACCGCTTAATCGCTTATTTCCCTTTACTAAACTATTTATCATTCATTTATTTATTTTAGAAAATCAAATAGGGAAATAGTCAAGAATCATCTCCGGGTGATGTTGACCACACATTTCTCTACATATTTCTATCGCCGAATGGCTGCCTGGCAAAATTTTTCTGGTTTGATAAGCTGGAGGAATGAGTCTAAACAGCAAACGCTCTTAAAAAAAAAGGAGGAAAACAAGAAAAGAAGGTCGAAATGCTTGAACTCTCAAAAATTAAGCAACAATAACATCGTTACAATAAATTATTTAGCATTTAACCGCAACGTGATTAAGCAAATACCAATTTCCGATATCATAAGAAATATATGAATTCCATAAAAAACCACTGTTTTAACGAAAAAACTAAAATTGCTGAAACAAATGATCAACAAAATAAGAAATGTAAAATAGGAAAAAATTTTTCTAATCGCTGTTAACTGAAAGCAAACATGTATCTGCTCGTACTGGATAATTGACAATGCTTTGTTCATCAAGAGGTTCCCGAATAACAAGCTCACGAGAATTCGGCCAATTCTGATTAAAAATAGCACGATAGCAGTTAATTTCTATTAAAAAGTGCGGTATTAATGATAAGAAAGCAGGCAAAAGGACGAGACCATGAAAAAGACCCCAAATAACGACCAATGATATAGTTTTTACGAATACCAACGGTATGTAATTCTGAAAATTAATACATTGATTGTAAATATACTATTGGAAATAAAATTATAAATGTATAGATATATATATTATAAATATTATATCACATGAAATATCACAGATTACCTGAAGAAAGATGAGTGGCAAGATGCAGACAACAGTGCTCAATCCGGCCTGAAGCATTGGCCATGCAACGCATCCCAAAGTAAATTCTAACCTCTCACGATTTTGCTTCAAACCAACTTTTACAATTCGACCATCTCGTATTTCCTTCTTATGATTTAGCTGCAAGGATTTACTTTTTGAAAAATGAATTTCTGCTTATAGTATAGAATTTTTAAAGACTACTGTTACTACCGCCGAGGAATCGAATTCAAGGTCCTTGAAAAGCAATATGCCCAAAATTATTTCTTCATAAATGTTCTGTTGAAAAACATATTAAGGATACTTTTTTATATCTAACTTTTTAACGATAATTTTTAAATTATTGTTATTGGTTAAGAATATTTAAAAGAAAAAATGCTATTTTATACTTGGAAATGATAAGAGATATGCGCAGTAAAATCGACAGACATTCCAATCGACATTAATACCGCGCAAAATGTGGCTGGATCAAGATCGAGATGCCACCACGACAGATAGCCAACGACTCCTAAAGTAAAATTATTTAAAACAATGAATTTCACGGTTTAGAATAGAAATAGAGAAAAGAATAGAAACTCAACTTTATAAAATCAACTCCTTTGTGAGTGATGATTGGCACTATCATTTCTGTTTTGGCTACTGGCTGTTAGTGCGGTAAGAAATTTTTAGGAAAATTACTTAGTGATAGGAGTATACAGAAGCGGCCAATACGAATTTTTGAATTTTTGAAAGATTTTGAAGACAGGATCTGAACTTTTGTCACTCAAGACAATAATCTAAACTATCCTATCTCTGTTATTCGCCGATAATTTTAAGTATCTACGAGATAGATGGATATGAGAATGATTACAAAATTACCTAAACTTATCGAGAGTATGGCCATTGAAGCAGTGATCACGCTTATTGGGTTTTGTATAAAAAGTATACATACTGCGGTCATACATAAAAATGTCCAAATAGCAGACTGAAAATTATAAATTTCATAAAAATTTTCCTATGCTTCAAGAGTCGTATTCTGTCTTATGAATTCTGTATGAATGAAAATTCAGAAAAAGAATTGGTACTCGATCTTTAAGCAAACTTTAATTTCGATAAAAATTTATTTCTCGATAAATTTATCTCATTGTCTCATTCGAGAAATTTTCTTCAATTTCATTTCATCTATTTTTCTGTAATTTTAAAACTTTAAAATTGTGGTAATGTATGTGGTATGATGATAATATAATTTGATAGTAAGTTTAGATATATTTAGATAAAACTTATCGCACTCCCACTTTTGAAAGTATTTATGCTTACGGAAGAGAATAGAATAATAAAGAAGAATAGAATCTTCTTCCCTTAATTAATTACCTGTAAAGTGAGCATCTTAAGCGACAACATTTGATCGACAAACATTGAATTCGCCTCCCAAACTGTAGCATTAAGGCTGGGATATGAATGCGCGATTTCTCTCCAATTTTCCATTAATTCAATGCGATCAGCCCAAGAAGATGAATTGTGATAGGCGACAGTAAACCAGAATCTCTCCACTGGCATTTTAGTATCATTACTGGAATATAATTTCTTCAATAAAATTATAATGCTAAAACATTTTTCAGTTAGAATAAACATAACTCAGTTAGTTTGATTAATTAGTGATTTTGACAGTTGTCTTTAAATGATGCTTTCTAATAGCACTCACCATTTCTTGCTTGAATTCATTGACTTTGAGGATGGGATACCTTCTGAGTTACTTTAGAATAGAAGTAGAGGATCATCAGTAATACCTGGATTTCATTTTTAATGACAAGTTTACTTCCGTCTATGGACAGGAATCAAACCTATGTGGCTTAGCCTTAGCAACAAGCAACATAACAACCTTCTTCCAATCAAAGGATATTGCCTTTTAACCAGAAATAAATGTATCTAATTAGGAATTACTAGAAACTGATAATTTTTTGTTTTTTCTCGCTAAGATTTAGAAGTGATATTAACGCTTTAATATATTTATTATTTAAAGCATTAAATAATTTAGCTCAAATAATTCTAACAAAAAAACCAAAAGTACCCTAATTTCATGAAAGTATTCCAGTGTGCATATAATGGTGACCGCAAGAAAAGCTCCAGTTTGCTATAATCAAGACCTGTCTTAGTAGAATCAACGATAGGTACAACAGTTGTTATCTTAGCATTTTCATCTTCATAAAAATCGAAATCATATAAAATTGACTGATTCCAATATACTAAATAATCGCGATACCACAGTAACGTAAAATCTTGACCTAAAATAGTTTAAGAAAGATCAAAATCTTATTTTCTAACAATATAAGATAAAAAATAAGATATTCGAACTGGTAGTGCCAGTACTGACAAGTATGGACAGGAACCAAACCTATAGTAACTTAGCCTTAGCAACAAGCAACATACCACTCGATCAACCTTCTCTAATCAAAGTAAATTTCTCTGCCTTTGAACCAGAAATAGATGCATCTCATTACCCCTAGCGTCCAGCTGGTGATGGCGATTGATCTGTAACAGTTGCCAAGAAACTCTCTGGCGAAAATTTCCAACCCAACTAAATAGCCAGCTAATCCAATGGTAAAAATGATTAGCTAATTAATTAGTTAATTAATTGTTTTATCAATATTGTAATTTCTACATGAAAATTTTCTTATACTGCTGACATCCCATTAATATAGTAGTATTAAAAGATTCAAAAATATTTGATAGTTTTTAATCGAACTTAATTTGCTAAAGATTTTGGACTCTCAGAGCTTCGACAAGACTTTTAATTCTTAGCCTTTAGCCATAAAACATATAACAGGAATCGATTAAGCTAGCGAGAAGCAATCGAAATGAGCTTCATCAGTGATAGGTGAATTGGACCACCACAATTATTAAACAAGAATGGAAACCTCGACATTTTTCCATAGATTCAAAATCACTTAGCATTCCAATGAAATCATCCATAACTGATTTTTCTCGTATATCCAATGGGCTATTAATGAGAACAGTTACTGGATAATATTCAGTCCATACTAAAAATAAGGAATAAAATGACAATTTTATTTATAGCAAATTTTTCTCCAATTTTCTTCAGTTAGATTATTTTAGCAGCAGAAAAAAATTGATCAGATGGACTATAAAAGCATGGAGAAATACCGGAAAATAAAGCTACAATACCAAATGAAATTAACAAACCGAAATTAGAAACAACATTATTCGCCTCTTGAAGAGGTGAATTTTTCGGTAAAAGCTTTTGAACATCAAGACGTGTGTTTATATTGAATGTACCCATTATACCAAAATACCAATAAATTACAGATCCGATCAACAAAGCAAAACCAAATATCCTATGAGTTATTACTCGGCAATAAATTTTTAAGCCGGTCTTTACCCAGGATAATACCTAAAATCTATTTTCCATTTAAATGCATTTAACCTCAATATTCCATCTATAATGTGCTTTAAATAAAAAATCATATCACAAAAAAAACCATATCATATATTCATAGCCTAAATACGCGATAAAAGAAGAATATGAGGCAATAGGATCTTTCGCATGATACCTGAGATGAATTTCGCGTTCTCTTCCGTTTTCCCTCGATAATGCTAGCCAAATACAACACAGGTCCAAACAGTACAAGAGTGAATATATATGCAAAACCTAGGGCCATTGCTGTTGCCATACAAAATAATGATATTTCTGAAATATCGTATTGCGTCGAGAATATAATTTTATTGCCTACGTGCATCGATTTAAGAAAAAAAATATCCCACAGAAAAGCAAATGAATCTTTCTGGCTTAAATTTATTACCCTAGGAGGCTTCTTTACAAATATGTTGAGCGATTTAACTACTGTGTAACTACTATATAAAGAATTCGAAAAGCACTTCCGTAATTCAGTAATAAAAAATGAAATCAATGCAAAAACATTCACCAGGAGTCGGAGTTAATGCACCAATGCCAAACGATATAACGTTAGTAAGAGTAGAAATAGTTATAGATGGACCACTTTCTTCTAAAACCAAACCGAGCCTTTGCCTTACAATGTTATCATTTGACAGCCGTTGCCACGCATGGATCAGCAAGAAAGCATCGTTGACACCTAAAAGTATTGCAATGTTTGAAAAGAATAATCATCGGTTTGGTATAAACAAATATATTTGAAAAACCATACCTATACCCATAATTAAAAAAGGCATAATGAGCATGATAGTATTAGTCCTGAGATTAGCAAGTGCACACAAACCGAAAGTTACAGTAATTGCTAATATGGGACAAACTGTTGCTCCGATTGCGACAATTAGCTTTGCTGGATCCATGATACCTTTGAATAAAGCACTTCCAATGATTGTGACAGCGACAAATATGAACATTGCAAGGAATCCTAAAATCAACAAATTGAATAAAAAAGTTACAGTAATTGCTATATGGATATATATGGATATATGGTATATATGGATCATTAATCGAGAAAAAAAATAGTCAACCACTTTTTCTTCGACGAAATGTTGCTTAAGTAAGTAAGTACTAAGTAACTAGATTTCTGGTTAGCTTGGTTCTGCTAAGTATCAATACAATTAGAAATTTTCTCCAAAGAATAACTAGAACCACAGTATCCAGCATCATTCGTGCTTTTTGGCTACTCTCAAGGTAAGGAAACCAAACCTATCTGCTCAATTCTATTCAACACGAACCGAAGCAACCATGTTACTCGGCCATCCCTGCTCCAACTTTACTTTATTTTACTTTATGAGTACTTTTCAAATCATTCTAAAAAAGAATTGTAAAATTGCAAAAAATATGAAAAAAAAACCTGCAATGAAATATGGAGCCATTTTTTGAGAATCTTTAATAAGTTCGTGATTAACTATTTCAGCTCCAAGAACCTAGAAATTGTAACTGACAAAAATAGAACATCATCAAAAAAAGAAAAGATCTGATGTAATTTGTTTTTTATAATTCGTCTATTTGTTAACAACGAATATAAACAATTTAAAAAATAATCGAGGCATTCATTTTTCTAAAATATATATATCCGTAAATTCATCTATAAAATTATAATAATAAATGGCTGAGAATCAATTAATCAATCAATTAATTGAAATTAGTATAAATAGCTAGCTTGTTGGATCAACATACGAGCATCTCAACATCTGGATTTGAATAATCATTAGTTGCGAAATTATAAACAGCCAATTCCCAAGCGTTCAATTTTGCTTCCATCTCAACTGATGGAATATCCCCACGAAATATCATAAGAATAATCTAAAATCACGACTGCGATTGTAATTTAAGAAAAAAGTTTTAATAAAACTTTCGTGGAAAGAAAATAGACAAAAAGCTGAAAAAGCTAATTCTAAAAAGCCAACAAAATGTTAGTTGTCCCAGTAGTTCCATAAATTCTTTTTGTCATAATCTTATAGCATACACGATTTCTGGTTTGATTAATTTCATTTTCTAATTATATAATTACCCCTTTACTAAATAGTTACTTGGAGATTAATGGAAATATCGAACCACATTACTACTCGGCATGACTGTAATCATTCCATCTTTATAGATATGTTTTACAACTGTTAAGCGAAGTTCGACAAGTTCAATTTGCCAATAATCAATGACGAAATTTTAAATATAAGGCAAAAACAAAAAATTTCCCATCGAATACGCGAAAAAAGGGCATATATTATAATAAGGACAATATAATAAGTAAAAAGTGACGTCCCTACAGTCCGATTTAGAATTTCATTTAGCCAAGAATTTTCCAAAAAAATTTGATAACAAATGAAAAATAAAATAAAAAATAGGCCAAAACGAAATATTCGAACCCATCACAATTCGAATAATAATTCGAATATGTAAATTTTTGCCAACGGAGAAAGGAAAATTAAGAATTGAGATTTTTGAGAACACGGGTTCCACCCGTATCTCTTGGCAGATGTCGACAAGTGAAATCGAGGCAGACCCATAGGCATTTTTATTATTTTTTAGATGCTTTGTTGAGGAGCATTAATTGATTAACTATCCAAGTTCAGAGAATCAAATATTTTTTCAATCGTTTATATAAAATCGTTTATATCGTTTACGTATTTTTATTTTTAATAAAGTAATTAAGAAAAAACTGATCCATATGATACAAAAAACTTACATACAAATATTCAATATTTGTGACATTGGAAAGCAACTGCAATTCAGATTCAGAACTATATACTGTTGTATTTCGTTTAGCAGCTTGAATATGATCTTGTCGAAGTTTGACTCCATAAAAACTTCTTTCCAGATGAACATCAAATCCTTCAATTTTGGCAATCGGATATGAAAGATTCATTAATTGCGATTTTCGCTTACCCATTTTATAGCGATTGATTTCATCCAATAAGGCACGCTAAACTTGAAAAAAATTTGTAAACCAGATGAATCCATAAAAGTGGAGAAAATTGTTAAATATTTTAGCAGATTTTTAGCACTTTTATTGATGCTTCCTTGAGGAGAATTTTGCATCAAATCCTGCAAATGTACTAGAGCATGGTTCTGCTCGGTCTACTGCCTGTTCTGCCTTTTGCTTGTATTGTTCTTAAGATAAATACAAATACTTCTGCCTTTTGCTTGTATTGTTCTTAAGATAAATACAAATACTTGGCTTGGCTTGCTTTGCTATATTGTTATTGTTCATTAAGAAATAAAGAAGTTAAAGAATACGGAATAATCGAATTATTTATCTTAATAACGTACGAATATAAATTTCATTTTCTCAAAAAAAATCTAATTTGAAGCACAACAAACAATGAAATAAACTGACTAACGTAAAAATATTCAATGACGACATTTGTATTACAGTAGGACCCACATATAGAATCATATGTGATCTGTTGATCTGGAGTGGATAAATTAACAGTTAAATTGCTCATCAAAAATGAATGAAGACGTACTGCTTCCTTCAAATGCCTAAGGCGATGCATTGAACCGCCATCTCGTGAACGTAGCGCAACTGTTGTAAGTGTTGGGTCACCTAAAACAAAAAATAATATAAAACTGAAAAAAATCCTTTGATGAGTCCTAAAAATTTATAATTTTTATAAAGATAAAGCAGTCAAGCAGACGGCCCTTTTTTCATGAGAAAAACTCACCAACTGATTGTAGAAATTCCCTGAGAACATCAGTTTCGTATCTTGACGATGAAGTCGTTGGTGTGTAGCCATCTCGAACACGATCTTCCATTTTTAAAAAATAAATACCACCTGATAAGGATGTCATTATTGCCGCAGCAATAAAATAAGCTAATGGATACGTAGCAATACTAAATCCTATTAATCGGAATAACCTTTTTAAAGTAAGCATTTGACAAAACTCTAATAATTCCGAGGCTTTTGCACCTGCAAAAAATTTATTTCCATAAGAAATGAGGAAAATCAGAACAATTTAATAAATTTGGTAGGATCGGATCAATTTTTCAAAATTAAAACACTTAAAACCTTCTCTGGTTCCATAAAGAAAAGTCCAGAAACAACAAAAATTGTTGGGATAATAAGAAGAATTTTTGTTTGTAGTAAATAAATTTTGTTAGTAGTAAGAAATAAAGAAATATGAAAGGAAGTTGAAAAAAACGCGAAAACTGGTTTAAACGTTACGAAGCATGAGCAAATGAGCTGATTCAAGAACAATTACATTTTTTGAAGAATTAAGCAATTTTTTAAATAAAAGAAAATAAAGAAAAGAAAAAGAAAAAATAATCTACAAAGCCTACCATTTCTGATAAGGCTAAGGCTTCTTAGTATAATGGGAAATTTGTGCCAGAGAACCACAAACTAACAAATAAGTGGATCCTCGAACCCCTGATTTTCAAGAAAATGATCTGACCAATAACCACTCGGCTAAACTGCCCTATGGTATTTAAAGAAGAGGAACGATGATGAAATCGACTCTTATTAATAACCATCAAAATTAAATAATGAATGTTGATAGACAATCCTATCAAAAGTAAAAAATTATCTTATAAAGTAATTACGACGATTCATCGTATCGTATTCATAAATTTGAAATATTTTTAAAAAATACTTACGATTGTTAGCCGTTTTAGGAGATTGTGCAAGGACATGAACAGCAATTTGGTGCTCATTCATTAGTTTTGCTTGAGAATTACTTTCAGACGGTGAATTAATTAGCGCATGACGACCGGAAGTCGCAGCCATATGCGACGTCAGTGTAACACTTGGCAAATGCAATACAGTCGAATAACACAGCAATTTGGAATGAAAATATCACCTTGAATACAAAAAAACGAACAAAAGAGATAAAACAAAACGAGGAAATATAACGATGAAACGATATTGAAACGAAGTTTGAAAATGGCTATATCAATGATTTATTTAGAGTGAAATTCTTTAATTTTTATAGATTTCGATAAAATGAAAATTACTAAATATGACGATCCATTTTATGGAAAATTATATGGATATATGAAAAAACAAATTAATAAATGTCGTACAGGAGAATAGAGTGATATTGAGTGCGGCCATGTCCAAACATAATGGGCCTGGTTCTTGTCCTTGGGATCGAAAGTATATCAGTAGAAGCGAGGTGTGATTCGTTTCTACGGAAAATAATTCTCTTTATTTTGAGAAGCGAGATGAGATGATGCTTGAGACTCATCTCTATCTCTTCTTTGGCTAAACAGCTTCGTCCTATCAGTCAGCAAATCAGCCAGAAATGGTGGGTATATTATTAGAAGAAAAAGAAAAATCTGAAAAATTCATGCTGATAAATTGAAATTTTAAATAAAATTACAATTGCTATAGAAAAATTTACCAGTCGGCCATCTAAGCAACTGCTCATTTGAACCATAATTCATCATTATATAATTAAATGAAATTAAATTAAATAGAAAGATGGTTGAAAGATGTCGAATTTAATAAAATTAAAAATAAAGTCTACATAAATGAATATAGGTAGAATGGTTGTCGCTTAGATTATCATTTACAAAAATCCTAGCAGAAGCAAACCTATAATAGAAAAACTTGATGCGACGGATCCAACTGTGTTTTTAACCCAGAATGATTCTAGCAAAACTGTTACAATCAGTGGAGCTAATTTATATAAATAGAATTACAGCTGTAAGTTTTTAGTAATAAGATGTTCACAAATTATTCTAATTATTTTAACTAAGATTTTTAAATTTAAAATAATTTATGATAAGGAATCATTATAATTTCGCTTGATCATTCATTGCCACTTTGTTGTATGAGCAATTTTTTCTAAATTTTATAAAAAATCTGACAAAATTCATAATTTTTGGTTTGGCCACTGAATATCACGATGATGAGATCTTTTCTCAAGAGAATCAATTACGGATATTATAGAACTATGGGTTCATCGAAGATTTCACTTTTAATGACGGGCCGCAGAGAAATGGGAATCTACGATTGACCTCATTCGAAGCAATTCGGTCATTGACAAAAAAACTGAAAAATTTGGAAAAAACAATGGGTTTGTAAAACTGTTGTAATGAAAAAATGATGAATGATAACTTCATTCATACACATTTATTCCAATTATATGCTAATTATTAATTTTATTCTTTTTTACTTCTCGATAAGAAGACAAGAAAAACTTTAATTTCTATTGGAAAGCGATCAACTGAAACCTAAATTTGATAGGAAATGGCATTATGTCATTCAAGTTTTGGAAAATTTGTCAAACATTTGATTTTCTAATTTAACAAGTATTAACTGAATTTCTCAAAAAAAAAACTGATAAATCACTGATCATTTCATATCACTTCTTAAATTCTACGATCACTTTTATTATCACTATAACTTGAAAAAGACTAAACAAAAGTTGACATCTGACAATTAGATGAGATAAAACTCATAGAGATCTATTACAAATAAAGTGACCAGGATTTGTAATCTTATAAGAACCAAGGAATTTGAGAAAAACGAGAACAGCCAAAGCTTAGCTGGAGTGAAAGGGAAAGTAAAAAAAAAATGGAGTTAAAATCGAGAAGAAAAATTATGAGTACAATTTTTGAAATGCAAGACAACTCATTTAATAATGTAAAATCCTAAAGGTAATCGGTGATCCTAAGAAATTCGTACAATAGCACGTTAAAAGTACCACATAAAAGTGAATTATCTCCCCGAAGTTGATTTTCGTTTCATACAATTTGTCATTTACATATATTGTATATATAAATATATTGAAATCGACGACAAAATTAATATAAATAAATATTAATATAAGGTAATCAAGTAAATTTTTAAAGGCATCCACCCGCCGAGACTAGTCATTATACGATTATTAATATCCGTTCATGTTTTATTGAAAATTTTACGATATTTTCAAATAACGATTTTGAACCAATAACTGAACGAATAGCATGTTATTTCAACTAATTTCATTATGGATTCGATTCCACTCTTTTAAACCATTAAAGATGAAATCAGAATGGTACTAGCGATCAACCTAGTTATTTTCAGCGCTAATCAATTTCATGGCAAAAAATTTTAAGCGCACTATCAACCAGTGGAGCAAACCTACCAAGAAATAATAGCTCTATTTTTTCTTCTAGATTTGAACGAATTCTTCTAAAATACTCATTTTTCAATACAAATTATCAAAAATTTTTTACCCAAATTCTTAAATTTGAACAATTATTGTCTGTGTTTAAACCGATATTTAATGATGTAAACAAGCATCGTTTGCTGATTATCCACTAATAATGACAATAATTTATTTGTTATGTCAATGAAATATCCCATAATTTGCAAATTTTTATTGCAAACTACCGATTATCAACTGTGTTTATCTAAAATAGAAATATATCAGAACTGACATCAACAATAATAGCTTAAAAATTACGGTTTTTAATTTTAAAAATTAAAATTTAATTTTAAAAATTTTATCTAAAACTTTAAAATTTTATTTATATTTTATTCATTTTAAATTTTAAAACGAATCTTAAAATAAATCAAATGAACAGAAGAAAAGAGAGTTTTTGACAACAAATTAAAAAGTAAAAAAAGTAGAGATATAGAGCGAAATATGCATCAATTCCTATGGTGGACGACGAAGAACTGCCTTAACCAGTGAAGATGACGTTTTGTGATGATACTATTGAATGCAAGTATTTGAAGATGGGTGCGACCATGTAAAATTTTAGCTGCACGATATTCTTGGACCCGTTAAATGTACCTTAGACAAGAGTGGTCAAAAGAATCTATAATATCCACCACTCTCATCGGCCATGTCTTGTAGCCATTTAGCAAGAACAAATTGTATGGACGTGGACTTCCATTATTACAGAGATTTCCCAGCAATTCCTTAAAGGTTTCGTCAACTGGATAAACGTACTTTCATTGATTGGTTCTTGAAATTAGAGTGGATATTTAGAGTATAAAACCAGTGGCATTTTAAGAGATGGTTAGCGCTAATTCTGACTAGGCTAACTACTTAGAAATGTTAGAATTGTTGGCTATAAAAATTCTTTACCACTTGGCGATAGAAGTATAAGGGTAAGTGGGTTCGCCGCCTGATGAAAGGTTTGCTCTTATCGAGAAAGAAAACCTAGGATGCGAATCGAAGCAACCATATTTCCAAACCGTTCTTGCTCTAATTGCCATTTAACGCATTTCAGTGGAATTTGGAAATACATATTTACGTTTTTTTCCAATGATAAAACCTTTTTTATGATAATAATAATTATAATTATAATAATAATAAATTTCTAAGTAATGGAAAAAGAATAAATGGATAAAAAAAGGATAAATGGATAAAAAGATGGAAATGAATGATTGTGTGACGAAGGAAAGAAGGAAGGAAGATGAAGGCGAAGAATTATAAAAACGAAATAAACCTTTCGCCAAGAAATTGCTATCGATCAAATTCATTGTATAAACCATCGAAAAACTTGTTTAGGATTTCTCTGAAGAAACGAATTTTTTAAAGAATTTCTTTATTTTTTGAAAGTCTGATATGCAAAATAATTAAAATCACATCATTTGACAGCAATACTCAACAGTATTCATCTTTTGGCTGATCCTACAAAATCTCACTGCCAGAGAGCCATCTGAGATTCGACTTTAGTAGAATTGCTTAGACTTGCTATTCGAACACTGAGTCTTTCAATAAATATAAATTTGTAATTAGCCAATAAAAATCATTTTTCTAATTAAAATGAAAAAATTAAAAAATTAAAATTTGAAAATTTATCGCCTAATTTAAATAGAATTTTAAATAAGAAAAGTTTTAATGAAAAAATTTTTTGATTTAAACTTATTGAAATTCAAAAAAACTCATCAATATCCACGACTAAATTTGATGATGATTTATAAACATATATTTTGTTTGTTCAGTTATTAATAATAAATAATAACAATGAATATGAGAGAACGATGTCAATGAAACATAATTTTTGCTTCAAAAAATTGATCTTTTAAATGAAATAGTTTCTTTCTAATAATTTGAAAGCAAACAGATTGAGAACATATTGATGATCAGCTGATGACTATAAAAAAATTCTATACAGCTCGGAATAGCCGACGGCAAGACAGTGCAGTGAATATTGCTCAGGTACCGTGCTGAGAGTTATGCTAGCTCTCTACTTCTGTTAGCAAGAAATACCTTGGAGAAAATTTCTAAGAGCATGACCAGACTTATTTGAAATAAAGCATACCCACTTGAGGATAGAAATACAGATAAATTCTTATCAATATCCGACGAAGTTAGTCCTTACAGCGACGAAATTTCTCGACCTGAGTCGTGATGAGTCGCTTGATAATTTAGACAGCACGCATTCGGCCATTCTGTATTTAATAAATATGTCGTAATTTCTAAAGCTTCAATAATAATAATATGGCTTCGGCGAAAGTAAGAAATGCTACGTGAAAATTTTATTTTTCTTAACGCAATAAGAAAAGTGGCGAAAGAAATATAACTATTATTATAACAATGTATTTTAGTTGGAATGAACACCATTTGTCGATTTACAGAAGTTTTTGCTTTCTTTAAAAGCGCAGCGAGCTCTTCAGCATTCAGCAGTCAGCGAAACACAATATTCATTAATAACTGTTATCAAGGCAATAATCCGTCGTTTCGCCTTAATTAAAGTAAGCAGTTCGTCATTTCTGGTTAGATCCGTTCATATGACCATTTGTTTCACCATACAAATTTTTCCACCTTTCGTACAAAATAGAATTGGTGAGCAATCAGCGATCATTGCTGCTCGTTAATAAGCTAGCCACATTGGATTTGCTGAAGAACTTTTCGCAGAGTCTCTCGTCAATAGAAATTTAGATGGACCGCCAGCAGCACCGCTCGTTATTAATTGGCTGAATAAAGTAATCTCGCCAGAGGGTCAATCATCCGAGAATAGAAATGATAAAATGATAAAAAAACTTTTTCTGCTTTTTTCATTTCATTTCCGTAATGACTTAATAAATTTAAGAATTGTTTTAATAATTACTAATAATAATAAAAATAATTTATTATCTTAAAGAAAATTATAAGTGAAAAATAATACGCCAATTCAAAATCATCTTTTTCGTTGATTTATTGCAAAGTAATGTGAAAAGACACGAAGAATTCGAAATGCACTGCCAGTTTCAGAGTTTTTAGAATATGAAAACTCGATTCATCCATCCATCACCTGTTAGTGGGTTTTCGATGCAAACATGACAAAAATCAATCGATTTCAATTAATAATGAATAACAGATGGAGGTGGAATCGTTTCACTTAATATATTTTGCTTCCTACTTTACTAAATAGATAACTGATTTAAAGTTTAAAAAATTGGGAAACAAAAAATGAGCAAAAACCCGCAGAGCCATTTTACTTTCGCTTTTGCCGTTAGGTGATATTATCGCCCGACGAAGCGCATGAGGTGCTGATCCGTTCTTGGTGAAAACCATTTTGCTACAAGGCCATTGGCCAGCTAGCCAAGACTAATGGGGTGCCAGTACTACAAGCAGAGCATATAATAGACGTACAATCTAATTATAAGTCGCATGGAAACCACGATGAGAGGTATAATGAAGACATCAACAAGTACTACCAAAGAATAAAATAGATCAAGCTTGGTGGGAAAAATAAAATCCATGCCACATATAAACCCTTCAGATATGCAGCTGGCATAATGAGACAGTCAAAAGAATAAATGAAGGCTATGAACAATTGTGACAATTCATGACTCTAAAGTGGAACAACGAGACAATTTGCTAAAAATGGCGCAATAATAATTCAAGTCTCCTGAACTATTACTCTTTCAATTAAGCTTGAAGCCAATGCGTGAAATCAACAAAAATATCAAAACAATAAAAATTGTTTCAATTCCAAAAATTATAGACTGCAAGAAGATTTTTTGGATTTTTTTATTGAATAACATTGAATTTCATTTATTTTCTCTATTTTTAACTAAAAAAATTTAGAATTATTTAAATTTAGAAGACCTGGAAATTTCTGTTCCAAGTTTACTGTCCAAAGACTGAGCATCAGCTGAAAAGAAAGTTAGTGGGGCTTGGTGAGCATTAAAGTAACTGGTATTGAGCGAAATCGGAAGATGGCACCAAAGGATGAAGATGAGCTATGTTTAAAGCATCAACAGGTATTATAAAAGAACGAGAAGTGCCATGGCAAAGCAATACAACTGGAAAAACATAGCACTGAAAGATCATAGCAACACAAGAACAAATACTAAGTAGCAAATCCAACAGTAGGAATCAGTAGGGAATCGAAATATGGATCTACCACATCAGACAGGAAATTACGCAAAAAAGGGTCAGAAATTACACTTTCTCGGTACATAGTGATAGAATATGGGATAAGAGCAAGCACTGAAAGGCAAATAGCTGGTACTGTCTACAGAAATATCTCTTAAATTTTATGTTTTACCAAAATAATTGGAAAAATTATAACAAGAGAATAAATGCAAATGTGATTGGGAGTATGTGATTTCTCCATCCAGATGGACAAAAAATACTGGTACCAACTAACCAGATATCGTGGTAATATAGAAGGACCAAAATTGGCACTGGTGATCGATACAACGATAGCGACAAGTAAAAAGAACTATGCAAATGTAGAGAAACCAGGAATTGATGAAAATATGGAAAGTAAGGGCCAAAGTACTCCCAATGGTAATAGGATCATTAGGTGCCGCGGCTGCTAAGCTAGAAAAGTGACTCAACAATTCCAGCGACTATTAGAAATCTCTGTGCAGAATAGCGCACTGGTAGGAAAATAATATATAGAATTCTGAAGCCTCAAAGTCTCTGGTAAAGGAGCTGAGGTTGAGGATAGCCCATATCACCTATAGAAGATAAAAAGAGGTTATGTATATATATATATATATATATCCAGTTGCAGTTCCTTTTCTCTTATCACAACATTCTATTCCTTATTATATCCATAGCAAATAATAATAAAATAATAAAATATTTATATATATGAATGTATATAGCGGTAAATGTAGGAGATTTAGGAAAAAAAAAAAACAAACTTAGGGAAAAAATAAATGTATTTTCATACATTTAAGTGTTATAGAAAAAAAATTGAATTTTATAACCGCTATTAAGCATTTGGATTTCTTAGTTAATAAGTATTAGGTTTCATAGGCTTAGTAGATAAATCACAACAAACCTCATATTATTATTTTAACAAAATTTGAAAAGTTGAGGTCAAATGAGTTATTAACAGATTTTGTGAAGTCATACAAAAATATAAAGAACATAATTTTGATGGAATATTAAAAAGTTTATAGAGTTTTTTGCTCACTTAGCAATTGTGACGTAAAGCATTTTATTTTATGAAGCACGAATAAATCCTAAAATGCGGCAAATCAAATGATCGAAAACTTGCAAAAATGGTATCCAAATATCTTTATGTCTAAACACTTTACTACGACGAAGCATAAAACTATTGTAAAATTCTTGAAATTCAACTTGAAATCAATATCAACTTCTGCTGAAAATAGATTTTGTTTGATTTGGCACCAGAAGAACTTTAAGTTGCTATCTCATGATCAAGTAGTAGCTTAAAGAACAAATGGATCAGCCCAAACACAGTCTTCCTCAATCTTCAAATTATAGTTCGACCCAGCATCCTTATATTCCGATGTAACAATTCGGAACCATCCTGACTCTCCCTAAAAGAAGATGCTATAACATATAATTAATCCCACGATTCGTGTAAATGTAACTTTATTTAAAAAATTCACCCATGGCTGTCCCCAGCTATTACGAGCGATCCAGTAAGGCATGCCAACTTTATGATCATAACCCCAACCAACAACTGATACGATATGGTCAATAGATTCGGATGTTTCTTCCTTGTAAATGCCGCCTGAATAATCTTCAAATAACTTGGTAGCAACTATACCACATCTGAAAATGATTTAACTGGATTATAACTAGCTACTGCAATGTTTACGTAGCAATTATCAAGAAAAATTGGTTTCACATTAATTTCTTAAATAAGTTTTATTTTAAAGCTTTCATTCCATATAAAATCCATTCCATCCGTTAAAGTTGGGTTTTTTTTGGCCTAATTGCCGAGAGGTTTATAATTCTAATTACAAAACCTAGGATATGATAATTGTTTTTAAATCTTCGGAATCCTCGAAACTTTCTTGTTAAAAACTGAAAAAAGCTTTGAAAAAATTTTGGAATTTTTAATTATTTTTTTGCAAGCTCGCCTTTTATTCATTCTGATAAATCTGACAAAAAAAAGAAAATAATACGCAATCGGTCCATTTTTATATATTTCGGCTTTCATTCGATCTCTACCACTAACTCGTCCATAATCATGAACTTTATAAAGTGTATAGTTTGAAATCGAGAAACATGATCCAGGCCAACATGAACCACATCGGTTGTATGGAGTGCATTCTTTAAAAAAGCAAGAAATGGTTACTGAATTAAATCTATTCCAGGTACAATCAACTCATTTGAAAGATAAGAGATTTCTAATGACATTCCATAATCCATATGGAATAAATGTCCTAAATTTGGAAATTATCAAAAAAGTTTAAATGAAAATTAAAACGCGAAAAATTGACTTCCATCTCGAGCTTGGTAGTTGTTACATGTTTCGTGCACAATACCATGCTTATAAGCATATTCATATACTCCTCCTGGTTCTCCACCTTCGCAACTTCCTGCACCTGCACAATCAATGACCTGAAATTTTTAATTTTTTTTCTGAAACAAGTCAAAATATCCATTTGCAATATGCAGATTATATGCATCCCATAAAGAGAAATTGAATGGAGATAGAATTCACAATTTCAATAAAAAAAAAAAAGAATATTCAATAATATTACGATAAATACAAAAAAAAAATAAAGACAAGTGAAGTTTTCTGACTAATTTCCAAGAATGGTAGAATGCTGTACAGCTTATTGCTTGAGGACCAGATACCGCATTTGACCCCATGTTTAATACTGTTTAAATGAAATACCTCTTGGACAGAAAGATAAGCTTGTGGAAAAGCATTTTTTCTCTTGATATTGAAACGATCAGCTAGAGCACTCGTTGATCCTTCAAATATTTTATTTTTAATCATTTAATAGGCTATAAACGAAGAGAGCATATTCCCATTCCCATTTACCATAACAGTGATAGCACATTAGCAGTATTATGCTGATTGTATGGAAAAATTTGAAATGCATGGCTAAACCAGTGGCCGATAAAATTTTTTTTCCATGAATGCTATATATCTCTTAGAGAATGCTATAAAAATCTATGGACTCCCACTGTAAAATTTTTAAACTTTAAAATTTTAAAATATTTACTAAATTTTTCTACTTCGAACGAATATAACAAATTGTATAAAAAATCATTAAAAATGGTACCATTTGTCATCATTCAGTTAAAAGAAGAACATAAGTAATTCGAATTAAGCTCTCACGTGCCCCTTATGAGTCTTCATGGAACCTAGAGGGTCTTTAGAGGCAACTGTTTGACAACTACTGATTTGTACAATGGAAACAAATAGTTATTATTCTTATCATTTTCAGATATATCACCGGACCGAAAGCTGGGAATGCTCCATCCTCTTAGCGAACAATCCCAACCAATAATAGTAGGCATTATTAGAAAAAATTGTTAAAAAAGGAATAAGTATTCTGCGAAATAATTGCGATGCTGAACAAGTCGTACAGTCATAAAGAAGCAATCCTACCTCTCGAAAATCCTTTTTATTTATTTCTTTTTTTTCTGAGCAATAGTTAAAATTTTATTTATTAGCAAATTCTTACCAAACGCCCAACATGATCCACAATCTAAAAGAAAAATGCGGTTCAGTGAATGGGAAAATTTGATTTTTCGAAGAAAATAGATTCGCGAAACCACGAAATTATCGTAAAATTAGTTTAAATTTTTTATTATCTATTTATCCATTATATTTTTTATATTAAAATCACTTATAATAAATAATAAATATTTATATTACAAATACTTTGTAATAACAAGTGTATTAAATATTATATTTGATATTTGCTAAAGATGTTGCCTAATCAAATTATTGCGCATTACACATATTATTTCATTTCATTATTTTCATTTACTACAAAGAATCTTAAAGAAAATAGATATGGCCAAAATTAAGGTTTATTTGGATAATTACTGATAAGTGTGAGAGTAAAATGGTTCACTGAACTATTGTCCCCATTTTGAAGCATAAGTGTAAGTATTGTTCCCATTTTTGGCAAACTGCCCGCGGATCATAATTCTAACGCCAAGTCCCCTCCCCTGATAAAATTTATCTGGTCCGACAAGCCATCTGAAAGAGCTATTTAGAAACACTCCTTTTTTTAACTTCTAGTGAAAATATTCGTAAAAAGTTATAGATTATCTCAATTTTTTTAACCAAGAAATTAGCTAACACTGGGGAATATGTTGATTGCGGTCTACACTAACATAGTTTGTGCCATTTATGTTTCTCCAATCCCATTCCAAAGGAAGTTTTTCAGTCGAAAAATCATCTAATTCATAAAAACGTCTATATGTCCTGAAAATTTTTTTAATTTCATCTGAAAACTAAAAATAATAAAAATGATTAGTTAGTAGAAAAGAGGATAATTTAAATTAACCTTCTCTCATAAACTTGATCAGTTTTTTTATAACATCCACCCAAACGTTCACGTTCACCCCCACTTTTCCGACCATTTACTCGCATTTTTATGCGCGCATTTGTTGGAAAAATTTGCAAAATAAGTAAAACCAGCGAAATTTTGATATGAAACTGAAGAAAAGTGCGCATTGGTGGCGAATCACCGTCGTTTTCTCGGCGAAGATGAAGATTTTTCAGCAAATAGAACGCATCTGTTCATTTCACTCTCTCACTCCATCCCTCCATCTCTTTTCCTCACCATAAAAATTCTGCTTTTTGATTCTATTTTTGTGTATCTTAATTTCTTTAAAGCAAAGGTTTTATTTAAGTCATAAAGAGGAGAGAGGGTAATTCGAATTGCTCCGAATCGATCTGATACATGCTCTTAATCAGAAATTTGCATGCTTTTTCGATGCAAAGTTTCCCTAAATTTTTCTTTTTTTTGTTTAAAAAGAGGAAATAAATTTAAAAGGCAAAAACCAAAACCTAAAGCATCTTAAGATATCAAAAAATGATTTTGAAGGAATAATAAAATACATATTTATAAAAAAATGTTTATTAATCTTATTCAAATGATGATGCAAAAAGATTTCGTTTTTCATCCGAAACACGATGATAATCAAATATTTACCCAACAGCACAAAAAATTCGAGGTTATTTCGCCAGAGCGCGGCGCCAATATCAAATACAACAAATTTTTCTTTAATGGAAATAATGGAAGAGGAAGAACAGAAATATTGTAATATTGTAAAACAAAACCTGTGAAACACTAAAAAATATATAATACGAACAATACACAGGAAAGCATCATGTAAATTTTCTCAAAATTGAAACATTTTATACTAATACTGAATATAAAAATGTAAATAAGAATTTTCTTGGAGTCCTTCAGTATAAATAATTAACGCTTAAAGCCGTTATACTAGTGTAGTTGTTGCTAATTTCTGTAATTTAATACCTGAGGATACTTTAGGATAAACTACTATAATTCTTTCATGCAATAATCAATTCGAAAGAGCGAGTTGAGCCAAATAATTTTTGTTGCAGGCCAAGCAATCGCCATTTCAGAGCGAGGATTTTGTAAAGATAATAATCCATCAATAAAAATAAAGATATTCATCCATAACTGTTGACCCACAACTATCCATTATTAAAGAATTCATAAAAGTACCAAAAAAACTGTGGAGGCTGAATTTATCCAATGTTTTATCCAACCAGAATTAGGTGGCTTAATTATCTGCATTTTGATGATATTTTTCAATTTTCATTGCTGTCCCAGTGGTAAAGAAATAAAAGGTGAAGATCGGTTTCATTATTGGATAGATAATTTATTCAATTCATCTATGAAAAATAAAGATGTTTATTATAAAAATAGAGGCGATTGGAACAAAATCATTTCAGACGGTAACTTATCTTAGAAATTTATAATAAAATAATAATAAAAAAAAAATTTTGTTTTTGTGACTTAAATTTTGGTGCATGACTTTAAAGTCAAATAAGCACTACCCGTTGACTTTCATCAAGTTTCTCAATAAAAGTGAAATTTTTACAGTAATCGACTGTACACATCTAGTTGAGAATAAGTTTTTTTTTTCTTTCATTATTTTTGATTGGGTTCCATTGGCTTGCTGGACCAGACAAATTTTGCCAGCGATAGAATTACAAGCTGTTTAACCAGCATAACTCAGATTTTTGGCTCTTTGAAGCAAGATCAACAACCCAAGGATTTTTCATATATGAGAAATTCTAAATCTAAAGAACTAAAAATATAATGAAGTTTTCGCTTAATATATTTATCAAAATTAATTTAATGGTACGGAAAAAATTAAAATGTTGTCAATAAATATAATTTCAACATTAAAATTAAGAAATGAATGAGATTTGTGCAAAATTTGAGGATTTTGCAGGAAATTCTTGCTATTAACTTAAATTACGTGCAGTACTAACAAGTCTAATTGCATCAGGCAGTCTTATCTATAAATATTTCACCTATGTTTCGTCATCGCGCATAATCTTCGATTATCCTTTTTACCACTCAGCTTAATATCTTTCAATTTTTTAAAAGTCATCATTGCTTTGACTGAGGCTAAAAGTTATGGTTTCGATTCCCATTCATTGATGAAAGTAAATTAAAAAAACTAAGTTGAAAGGCCATTAAAAAGTGAAATCGAAATGATGCTGCGAATGACCCATCCATCCGCTTTAGTCCGCAAGTGATTCCTTGGTAAATAAGCAAGTCGAATGCACATATTTGCTAATTTTCTAAGATTATTGCTAATATTCTTTATTCCCCTAATTTAATTTATTTCATTGTGTCTTTATAGCCTTCGATGTACGCTTTTTATGAAATTAATTATCACAATCCACAATTTGATAATTTATCAGCATAACTCAACAAAACATTGATGTATTTTTATCGAGTTATTATTGATCCGTTCTATGAATTTAAGCTCAAGCCCACATACTATTTGTTCTGATTATCGCTAAGCCATATGTTTGATGAATTATTTATGATCAATCTCTGCACTCTTACTTTAAATAATCATTTTAAAGTATCATTTATATCATTTATAAATTTTAGGATTATTTTTGTTCGTGATTGAAATATTTTTACGATAAGGGCGCCTATTTTTTCATATTACTTAAAATTCGCAAGTTTCAACCATTCAACTCAAATCACTAATATTTCGCGCAGAATTTCTTGCAAATTTTCTAATTTATCCTAAAAAAATTACTTTTTACATTTATATTTTTTTTACCTTACATTTTTACTTTTACATTTTTTTTCAGTCTTCTTTTTTATTATTGGATGAAATTCATTAAATTAGTGAGGGCTTTCTTGTTTTTATAATTGCACCTGTATATTATTCGAACATTAATGACTGAAATGATATTTTTCTACAAATATTCCTCAAGCGAAAAGAGAATGGTACCTAGAGTTGCCCAGTTGCTTTTCAGCTCTTATGTTTAAAAAGATTAGGGCTATTAATAAAAGACTCGAGTGTGTACCTATACTTCTGAGTCAAGTGATCTTGGTTTAGTGGTAAAATTTCTCATCGTTATTAATAATCGGTGGAGCTAACCCAGTCAGAAATAGGTGCTGCTAGCTATTTAGTCAGATAATGGGATAATTTTAGTGTCTAATCCCTGCTTCGAAAGTTTTTATCGCCTTATTTTGGACTTAGCACTGAAGTTTCATTTTCAAAATAATCCTCTCGTTTCATCTAATTTGCTTGAAAATAGCTTCAAAAAATTTTGGTTGCATAAGTGATAATATTTGCAAATAGTGAATGCTAAATGTTAATGCAGAGTTAGCAGATTTATCGAGATCATCAGTCCTAGCCAAAGAAATACATATAATTTTTATCTAAATTCTTCAGATAAGTTAGATAAGTTCTTCGAATTTCGTTTTCGATTTAACAAATGTTCAAGTGGTATACTGCTTCAATCAGTTAATCAGTGAATTTTAGTGAATCGTTCGAAATATGGCTCGAGAGGATGAATCGTTGTGGATATTTTTTTTGGCTTCGAAATCTCACTTCTATAAGATCTTTTTATATTAATGCCTTTCAACAATTTAAAAATAGATGATAGTTTTGTTGATTGAGCTTTTCATCAGTCAGTTTTCTCTATTTCTCCTGCTTTTATTCTCATTCATCTCTTTAGCTTCAATTGGGCCAATTGTTCGTTTATGAAGCGGGTTTAGATTAATTATCCCCAAAAATTTCTTTTCTATGCACATAAAATCATCATTTGGCAGTATAAAAAATGAATTTGAATCATATGCATACAAAAAATGAATTTGAATTTATTCATTCATACAAAAAATTAATTTGAATCATATGCAGAAGAAATTTTCGAATCCAATTTTCAAAAGATTGAATGCTTTATTTTAAATTTACAACTAAGAGAACAGGAAAACGAATGAAAAAATCGAATAAATAATTCCCCGTATCAGCAACTATATGAAAACATTTAACCATAATTCAGTGCAAGAAAGTGAAATCAAGAAACACCAATGATTTTGCTATGTTGCTAGAACAGCCAAAAAAATGAATGAATTCAGGAGTACAATGCCACAGAAAATGAGAACGAGACTTTCTTTAACCTTTCCTTCAAGAGCACTCATATTTCCAATTTGATCAGCTCCACTTGTTCTTATAAGATCATTACGCCAAAGATTCGGATGGAGATTTAAAAAGAAGTATAGATGGATCTTTATGCACCATTCGTGATAATGATATTTGACTACGATATTTTTTTAGGTGAGCTCATCATTTCTAATTGGGCTCGCTTCTGATTTGCCAGATCGAAATTTTACCAAGGAATAAATCACTTGGCAAGAAAAATACAGATGAATATTCGTATTTTCAAAAGACAAAAGGTTGATTTCTGCGTGGAGTAGAGCCCCAGCATCAGCGCTTCAAAATGCGAGCAAAAATCTATTGATCTATTCTATAAACTAAATCTGTTTACCTTAAGTTTTCATTGATATTCATATATTTAAAATTTTTCATTTTCATTAAAAAATCAGTGAATTTTATAAATTTTTGAATTATCTTCTAAATTCTTTCAACATTCTCTCTGTATTACTTATTTCCTTATATGCATTTTTTATTTTATTAAAATCTTATATGAAATCAGAATTTTCATCCCAAAATATTCATTATCTCGCAAATTTTGATCTGAGTTTTCCACATAAATTAATGAGCCTTTGGAGTTGCTTTTTGATCCAGTGAAATGTTTTGAATTTTTCTAGTAAATTTTTTTGAATTATCTTCTGGTGAATAGCCGTAAGTCTTTTTCGATGGACCAGTAGGACTTTCCAATATTTTATTATTCATCGTTAAGTTTATTGCTTTCCAAATTTCCAGCTTAAGGATATAATACTTACTAAGGACCAACATATTTTATATTGGTCATGATAACTGTGGAACTTTTTCCACCAAATTAAAAATTTACTAGTTTCTGCAAAAAACGAACTTTTTTCCAATATAATGCATATTTTATATATTGTAAAAATGAGCCATTTTTCACACAACCAACTTGCTAATCCTTTTTTTTCTTATGGTCAACATTTCTGGCTTTGTTTGCTCTATTAGCTAAATGGATGAGACTTCTTAGCCAAAGAATCACTCGGTTTTAGAAATGCAATCGGCTGCAAGAATACAATATATATGAATTATATTATTTAATTATTGAGATGAATTTGAATATAATTGTCCGTATTAATTAGCATCATAAGATGAAATAATCAATGTATAAACGAGGGCAATAGTGATTTCCACTCCAAACAGTTGTTACTGAAGATATCAAATATTAAGCGCAGCTATCTTTTTCTCTTTCTGATGAATTAATATTAATAAAGCGATGAATTTTTGAAGTATTATTAACCCATGAAAATTTTTCATCCTTATATCAGCAAAATAAATAAGTGAATGGTTTGCATTCACCGTTTCTAGCTAGGAAGAACCAGCTAGCGCTCAGCTGGTTTAATTTTTGTAAATTTTCTTCATTTAATAGAAACACAGTTGGTTGCAAGTTTGAACCATTGACTCTCAGCGATTATCACGACAATCTATTAACCTTTGCTAACCTTAGTTAATCTTACTAATTTTTCGGCTACCCTTTCTCCAAAAAATATTTATCATAAGTCACATCTATTATTCAAACTACTATATGCATAAAGCCTTCTCGATTAATTATTTTAATATTTTAATATGTTCAATATAGTACTCCTGGAGTAGTTTAGTTTTTGAATAATTTATATTTGAAAACAAACTGAACTGTGGCGTGATTAATTAATAAAGATGCATTTTTGAGACTTCATATTTTTAGTTTTGTTATGATGGGAATTTGATAAAAATAATTTACAAAAAAATTTCTTGAAGGCTTGAACGAGGAAGAAAGAACTTTCAAATGACATAGATTTCTCTTGTGTTGTAAATTTTTGTGGCTTGAAATAAAAACATGTGTTTCATTCTATCACTAGATCAGATTGCCTGATGCAAACTTTTTTATCAAGTTTTTAGTTTTTTAGCTTTCAATGGCTTATCTATTCAAATATTTCAAATAAGTACTTAGTTTAGAAAATTACTTATTTTATATTTTACTTATTTTGGAAGAGATCGTGTTACATTAACCATGCAATCTGTTATCAAGAGACACTTTGTTTTAGTTGATTTCTTTGATTTATCCTTATTTTTCTTAAAAATTTATTCAAAATTCGGCATAAAAATAAAAAATAACTTTTAACGAACAAAAATAAAAAAGAATGATTTACCAATATGAAACACATATCGATTTGATATAATACTATGAAAAAATCGAAATGTTTTAAATTTTAAATTCTTTTAATGTAAAGATTTCCGTGAGAATTAGTATTTTCCTAAAAGTTTTAAAGTAAAAATTTGTTTGTTTTTTTTATTTTTATATTCACAGCATTGCTAAAACTCCACAAGAACTAAAAATAAAAAATAATTATGATTTATTAAATGATCTTATCATTAATCTATACCACAAGCCCTGATTTACTTTGTATTTCTCTATCTGTTTTACTTTTCCTATGAATCATGGAAGTAACGAAATTTCAGGAAGAAATGCCCAAGGCTTTATTAGGTAAAGTGAATTTTATCATTTAATAAGGAGCAAAAGGCATATGAATATTCAACCAGATCAGATTTCTCATCATCCGAAAGGATATCAATATTATTACATGTCTTACTGTTAGAACAATTACGAATACTTTTAATAAAGAAGATGAGTTTTGATTTATATCCAGTCAGTAATTTAAACTCGGGACTATTTCCTCGACGTTCACTAACTCTAACAACGGACGATTCTCATGTACAAACAGTGACCATATTTCTGCATGAATTCAATCCCGAATCATGTGCTGACCACATGAAAATCGATTTACATAAGCGAACAACGACAGAGGAGCTTATCGAAAAAGTCCTTACTCAACGATCAGGTAATTAAAATTAAAATTAAAATTAAAATTCATAAAAATTCATAAAAATTAAATTAAAATTAAAATTCATAAAAATTTGGCTCATTGCTGTATGCTATAAAAATTTTATTTAATTTTGTTATTTTGTTAATTTCGTTTTAAAGTATTAATTAATCTCTGTCATCTAAAAATTTAAGGCCAAAACTCCCAAATCTCCCAAATCCTATCAGCTAGACCCTTTTAATATTGCCCATCGTCCTTCACATCACATCTTCAATAAATTCACTCTGTGGTATGGAAGAAAGAAATAATATTAGATGACTGAAGCAAAGCAATTCTGCTTCTAATTCCTGAGAAAAATGACAGAACTGCGACAATCACCGAGGAACCAGCCTACTGGATATCTCTGGAAAATTTTTCACTTCCCTTCTACTAAATAGATTCATGACAACAAGAGATAGCAGAAGCAATGTACCCTAATTAAGCTGGATTCAAACCGGGATGCAATTGTACTGACCAGATATTCACGTTAGGAAGAGTGCTGGGACATTGTTTCAAATATTTGCAACCCACCATCAAGGTTTTCTTTGATTCAATTGATAGAGACGGTAACGAAATGTGACGGTGTTCCAGAGAAGATCATTCGATTCATAAAGGTATTTATGAGTGTACGTCGAGCGTACGTTGATATAGGGAACTGATATTCCCTTACGATATTCAAGTGATAATGAACATCTGACATGCGGCAGACCGGATAACGGGCATCGCTTATCGGCACTTAAGTGGTGTATATTCCACATCGCAGATCTTGAATACGCTGGTGATGTAGTCCTTTTTGCCAACAGTTATGATGAGACCAAATGATGCTAATCAATGTGTCGGCAACTACAACAATTTAAACAATATAATAGTGTAAAAAAAATGAAAGGATAGATGGCGTCAAAAGCCAACCATAACTGGACTAACATAATCAAGGAAGATTTTGAATAAATTGGTGGACTTAAACGATGGAAAAAGGAATGGTTTTTATCAATATCAGCAATGGCGCACAACCGAACAGCTTGGAGATGTCTTACCCTTGTAGCCAACGGAGCCAGCCTAACCTAACCTAACTAGTAATGGTGAGAACTGTCAAAAGAAAAAAAAAATAAAAAGAAATTAAAAACTGGGAGGGGTGCCATAAAAGAAATAGAATCAAGCTTGAATGTTCTATTTTTTCTCAACTTCTCATAAATCTCAAATTTATCGATGGTTTAGATTTGATGGGAAATATACCGGAGGATTTCGATTTGTATGAAGTGATGGGCACCGTGGATGGTCAGACTTTTAAGGAGAGAAAATTAGACAAGGGTGAATATCCGGTAGCTTTGCAAATGCTTTGGTCGAGGCAAGTAGAAAATGATGGAGCTGTTCCAAAAAATCGCTTTGTGCTGAGGCATAGATTTTTTTCACAATTAATTTTTCTAAGCATTGCGTTAGTACAATGATAATTTAAACAAATTTCAGGCATAAAGGCTCATCATCTTTGGCCGGTGGGATACATTTAGGCTCATCGGATGCCTCAAGTACTATTGACTCGTTTTTAGCCAAATTTTTAACTCAACCTCAGGTTTCTTTTCTTAATAGACATTTTTTAGGTTTTAGAAAATTGGATTTTCATACGCTTTATGGTTGCAGGATCGAGAATACGCTGATCTCTGCATGCTTCCTGAACTAACTGAACAAACCCTACTTGATAATCTCAGAGATCGATTCAACAGTGGCCACATTTATACATATATTGGTAAGAATTATTTGAACGAATCATTTCTTCAATGACTGATAACTCACTGATTTAATAATTATGGCTTTTTTTGTCGCAAAAATTTCATCCATTCATTAAAAAAATTACCTATACTAGGGCCGATTCTTGTTGCCGTCAATCCGTTTCAATTTTATCCAATATATAATCCGAAATATGCTAGGCTTTATTGTCAAAGTAGGCGACTTGGATCACTTCCACCCCACATTTTTGCAATCGCTGATATTACTTATCATAAGTAAGTTTTCCACTTTTTGTCTTTATTATATGTTAAAGTATGATGAATTTATATTCATTAAACGATAATAAAAATGGCCAATTATTTATCGAAATAATTAATATATATTGTAGCATGCTAAGAATCAAGGAAAATCAATGTATTGTAATCAGTGGCGAATCTGGTTCGGGCAAAACAGAGTCAACCAATTTTCTTTTGCATCATCTTACTACTCTTAGCCAAAAAGGTTCAACTGGTAGTTCAGTTGAACAAATACTGCTCTCGGCTGGTCCAGTTCTTGAGGTAACATCATTAAAAATAAGTGACTGAAAGTTATCACTTACTGATAATATGTCTCCATATTTTATAAGAAAAAAAGCATAAAATCGATATATTACTTAATTGTGCTACAAAGAATGTGAAAATTTATGCGAAAAAATCGTATTTTAGGCATTTGGTAATGCCATGACTGTACAAAATAACAATAGTAGCCGTTTTGGCAAATTTATACGAGTAAATTATCGCGAGAATGGTATGGTGTTAGGGTTAGTCATTTACGATTATAATAATTATTGTTAAAATCATTTTAGATAATAATTGCAGAGCTAGTGTTGAAATTTAATAAATTTAATAGTTTAAATAGATCTCTTTTAAATCAGTTTTGGCGATATCTACGTCAGATTAGAGTGTTCGAGTATAACACTGCGAAATAGATTAACTTCTTTGACTCCTGTTCCTTGCCGGCAGTAATCATTGGAAGCGAAATTCCATCTTCCATTCTTCTTATTTTATCATCCTTAAGTTAGCTAAACAAAAGGGAAACATTGAGCTCAGATTGAAGGTATCTATTCTAAATCAGTTTTTAATAAATTATTTAATAGATAAAGGAAACTTAAAATTTAAACCAATGTTGATAATAATAATAATTAATAATAATAAATAATGATAACAGCAATAATATAATAATAAACAATAATATTAATAATAACAATAATTAATAATAATAATGACAATGATAATTTTTAATTATAGCAACAAGTAACAAAAGGCAATAGTAATAATAATTAACAAAAAATAAATAATTGAACAACAAAATAACAAATAATAAAAAATAATAATTGCAGGGCTAGTGTTGAAATTTATTTATTGGAGAAATCTCGTATCATATCCCAGGCTAAAGATGAAAGGTTAAATAGTTCAAATTATTACCAGGCATTTTAGGTAAATTTAAAGAATTCCCTTAAGTAAAAATAGATTCGTTTGCGATTTCCATTACCTTTTTATCTTTTTCTCAATTTTTAGATCGAAAAATTTTCAGAAAAGCTTTTGTCACAAAACTAATCGGCGAAGCCTTTCAATAGGAAACTAATAAATTAAACTAGATAATCACTAAATGTCATTATTTTTTATCCATTTTATCCAGGTTATTAAATTATTATTAAGTATCATCATAGATTTTTAGAAGTTTTGATATATCATAAATTCCTTTGAAATTTTTATGGTTAGTAACCAGATGATACAACCGTTAAATATTATCTGGAAAACGGATATATGGTCTCGGTCTGGGGACAAGAGAAAAGTACAAGCATGGATGATATAAAGAATTCTATGATCATTGAATACTGAATTTTTTTATGTTGAAGAAATAAAAAAATTTGAAACATTCATTTTTTCTCGAAGAATGCCTTACAATCTGAATTAACACTAAATATACAAAGGAAGGCGTTTAAAAAAAATTCAAAAAACATTTAATCTTAATCAGAAAATATTTTATTTTAAATGATATTTTCAGGAATTACCATGTATTTTATTATTTATTGAAAGGTGCTAGTGAGGAAGAACGACAACACCATTTTTTGCTCCAAGCAACCGATTATAATTACCTCAATCAAGTAAGCATCCAACTTCCAACTTTTTTTTCGATAATGGGTGGACGTAATGAATTAATAAACAATTCATTTCTGATTAGGCTCATTCAAGTGACTGTTGGCATCAAGGATGGGAGTATAAGTAGGTTCAGTACCATCTTAATGTTTCAATGGTAGATTTATTTCGAATGCTGGGGCTAAATCAGAATGTTCGATTTGATAATCTATGCAACAATGCATATCTTATTTTGTCCTTTATTTAACCGTGAAGAACTACGATGCATTAAAATTTATCTGTTCCGGCGTGTAAACCCGCTTCAGAGAATGCTGAAAACAATGATAATCCATTGCCATTACTATGAGAAAGACGAATGAATAATACGCAAGCAACTGAACCAACAAATTTGATATAAAGAACGAAAGTAACCTGAAAACTAATCGAAGACCAAAATTATGAAATGATTTATGGGAAATTAATTAAAAACTATGAGCAAAAAAATGGATAAATGGATCGCATGAATGGAGCTTTAAATCGTTTCTCGTTTTTCCATAATTTATACCTTTCTATCTTTGATTTCGCAGAAAAACCATCCAGCTTAAGCCATTTCTCCTTTTGCGTTTATTTTATGCTTAAACGTTTAATGAACAGTTTAATAAACACGTTTAATAACCGTTTAATAATAATGAAAAAGTGAAGTGAACCTGTCACCAGAACATAAGGCAAACATATAAATAAATGTACTACAACATTTAAATATCACTAAAGAATAAGACAGACCCTGAAGAGCCAGATCAACGAGAAGAACGAAATTCATGTCATAAAAATATACTTCTTGCTCGTCATAAGGTCCGCAGTTGGCAAGGTGGACAAAGGAAGATATGAAGATTGCTGACGTGAAAACCCGGAAACTCATCACAATGCATGGAAAATTCTATCCTAATTCTAATACTCAAAGATTGTATACCATCAGGAAAGAAGGCGGACTGGTGAGAATTAACGCCATTGTTTTGAACGAAAGAAACCCAAAGCATTCAGGAATGGCACCAAAGGATGAGAATGAAGCAACTATAAGCATTGGAAAAAGACCAAGCAGAAATTAACATGGTAAAGCAAGGTTCCTCATGAGTTGTACCATCGATAGATAGCTGAGATAATTGATATTGAGAAATCTCACCAGTGGTTGAAAAAACCTAAAAGACAACAATGAGTAATGGAAAAACAGCCACTAAGGCCAGATCCATTAAGACAAGGATCTGCCACAATAAAGGAGCAATCAAGTAGCAGATTGTGCAAAAACGCGCAAGACACAGTCCAATTAGGAAATAAAATTTAAACAGGAACAACGTATATTGAAAAGCAGTATTAAATAACTGACATTATCCACAGGAATATTTGCTCGGCATTTAAATCTTTCCGAGATGGGAGATTCCTCAGAAAATTGTAGAGAATAATAATGCGAAGGTAATAGATAATAATAATGCGAAGGTCCTGTGGGAGTTCCCTATCCAGACAAACAAGTACTGACCAACCAACCAGATATCGCAGTAATAAACAAGAATTAGAAATCATTAATGGTGATAGATCAGTATCAAGAGATAGGAACGTTAGGAAGAACGTTAGGAATATGAGAAATTAAAGAAATATCGGAGGATAAAAAAGGAATTAGAGATGTGGAAAGTGAAGACCAAAGCAATTCCAGTGATAATTAGAGCATTTGGAACTCCTTAAATTAAATTGGATCTTTATCCAGAAGAATGCACTGGAAGAACAGCTAAGATACTGCGCAGAACCTTCAATATTGCAGAGCATTGGTAGAGAACTCGAGGCCCTAACCACCCAGAGGGAATGAAAAAGAAATTTTTTTTTGCATTTACATATACTGTCGATGGTTTAGTGGCAAATCCGGATGACGCACCACACTTCGTCGAATGAAGAAAACAAAGGAGAGTACTTAGTGAATTGTTGCCTGACTTGGAGTGCCGATGCTGAAGTCCTTCTTCCGACAGGATTAAACCTGTCCAAAAATCCAAGCAATGCTGCCAGCTCACCTGTGTTTCTATCTCTCTGGCATATTTAGTCCCACAAGCCAGTGAAGCGAGTCTAACCACCAATGGTGAGTGCGTTCTGAGCATGCACTTATGATTAAGCCGCAGAGCGGTAAGGCCAGTTGCGACAATATAAAATATAACTGATAATAATCGGAAGCCAGTATATCCCAGCTTAACCTAAATGACAAATCGATTGAAAAAATTCTACAAAAATTAATGTTTTCAGAGTAATTATCGTACAGCAGAATGTGTGAATGAAAAATCTGAATATGAAAGACTTAAACTTGCAATGGATTCCGTTGGATTCTCGCGTATTTCTCAAAAAAATATGTTTTCTGTTCTTTCAGCTGTTTTGCTTCTGGGGAATACTGAATACGTCAAAGTATTTTTATATTTTATACTTATATCTTTAAATTTTTTGACCAAAAAAATTCCTATTATTTATTTCTGAATCGAACGTACCATATCAGTTTTATAATTAAAAATATTTGTTGATTATATTTGGTTGTTGTCTCCATGTTAAAATGGCATGAAAAAAATGATTTCACCTATATTTAACTCATCGATTTCTCCAAAAACATCAAAGATCAATAAAAGCGTAATCGTCTGTGCTAATTTTACTATTATGTTTCCACTAAATAGCAAAAGTATTTCTGGAAAAAAATTTTAAAAATTTCTTCCTTTATTTTCTGTCTATCTCAATCTTTGACCTTTTTTCGTCTTTGACTGGTGTAAACTGCATTTCGAGTTTCATCAATTATTATACCAGCTCGGAGCGGAAGTAATGGTTGCATTAATGTGGATCTTTGGATAACGCGAAATGGCGTGGCGATTGTCGTATCTAGAAAGATTCAATTAGTTCTGATTGTGAGAAAACCAGTCAACGATTGTATCGCATACGGTCAATACAATGGAAAGAGAAATGTCTTCTGTTATCAGATATATCAGATATAACATCGGATCGAACGCTTATAAATGCTTTACAGTGACATAAAGCAACCAGTGATAATGTGAGCTATCTGTTAAAAGAAAGCGATGTTTCCACTGGAACTATGCAACTACGAACATTAATTTTAGCCAATTGTCCATTCTCCAATTTTTATTGAATAATTTCTAGCATCATAGCGTCTACATCATATCTTTCTCCAAATTTTCTGTTTGTTTTTCCACATCTCTGATGAAATCGAACTGGTTGAATCAATTTCCATGGCATTCAGTAGAGACAATTCATTTTTGAACAAAGAGTGCATTTTAATGACAGCCATGATTATTAATTAACTATTAACTACTCGTGATTATTAACTAACTAAATTTTCATCGAAAAATCACAGAAAACTGTTAATTATTACCCTAACACTTATTTAATTCTTTTTTTTCACACGGATTATTATTGGATTAATTAAGAGACCGGGATATCACAGTGATGAAAATGCTTACATTGAAAATGGAGAATTAATTGGTATAATATCAGAATTGCTTCAAATTAAAGCCAGCAACCTTCAGCAAGCCTTAACTATGCGAAGAACCGTACTCAAGAGCGAAGTCGTTATTACTAGATATAGCGTTAATGAGGTAAATGAATTAAAATCACTTGATTTTGGTTGATTTTAGTTCAATTTTAAACAAACTTTTTTCTTTTTGTGGCCTTCTTCCATATAAATTTATTTATTACTAGGTCTTTAGAAAGACCATATGGCAATTTCGCTGTACCATCTATATCTTATTTCTCACCAAATTTTCTGATTGTTATTCCATATCTGTGATGAGATCAAGTTATTATGAATTTACATGATGATCAGTAGAACAAAATCTTTCTTTTGTTGTGGTGCATTTCTATTTTTTATTCCATTTATTTCTAAGGAATTTTCTAGGCTGTAAATACTCGTGATGCTATGGCCAAATGTTTATATAATGCACTTTTTCACTGGATTGTATTACGAATCAACCATGCTTTACTGAAGAGAGAGAGTTTGTCCAGCAAAAAAGGATTTTTTATTGGTAATCGAATTCTTAAATAAATGCACAAATCAAATTTATCTTAATTCCAAATGAATTTCCTTGCAAGCCACTGGAAATTATGGAGATTAATACAATTGTTTTTTGAATAACTACTAATTTAATAAAGCCCATAAAATTTTAGATTTTTGAATAAATCTAAATTTACAGGCATTCTTGATATATTTGGCTTCGAAGATGTTGGCGCCAAGTGGAATTCATTTGAACAACTTTGCATAAATTATGCAAATGAACATCTTCAAGCTTATTTCAACCAACATATTTTTCAATTTGAACAGGTAGATTCATTTCCAATGATAACTCTCCTGCTTTTTTTGCCTGAAATTTCTGATGAAGTTTCATTATAAAATAAGTCTTTAAACCCAGATTTTGCATTTTAAGTGTTGTTGTTTTATACTGGAAAACCACAGATTTTTTAGGAAGAATATTGCAAAGAAGGAATCAGTTGGACTAATATCGAATATATCGATAACACGGAATGCGTACAATTATTTCAGGTCTATATATTTCTAATCTTCTTATAATCTTCGGTAGCTTTTTAATTATTATTTGGCTGCAGGGCCTCGTTATGATATTTAAGAATTAATAAAGTATTGCTCTATTAAAATAGAGTTTTATATAGGAATAGGGTTCGTTGCCTCAATTTCTTTGCCGAATTCGAATAATTTTTAGAACAAACCATGTGGTATTCTTAGGCTGATCGACGAAGAAAGTAATATTAATAATGGAACTGATCTATCGATGCTCGACAAACTAAACCATTTTTTAAAGAACAATGAATATTACGAAACACCACAAAAAAAAGAACCAGCGTTCATTATTGCTCATTACGCTGGAAAAGTCAAGTATCAAATCAAAGTAAGCAAGAAAGATTAAATGCCAGATTAAAGATTAAATTTATGCCTGAAGCATAAATTTAACTCAATACAGAATTTCTATATAGGGTTTCCGTGAAAAAAATATGGATCTTATGCGCCAGGATGTATTAATGGTATTAAAGAATAGCAAAAGCGCATTTGTTCGTGAACTGGTTGGTGATGATCCAGTTGCAATTTTTCATTGGAGTACTATACGAGCCACGTTCCGCGCAATTAATGCATTCCGCCAAAGTACAAGAGGAGCGAAAAGAACATCTGGTTAGTTAAAACAATATATTATAGAATAAGAGACTATTGCTGATGTTAATGATAAATCTAATGGATTTCTACGATTATAGAAGATACTCATTCAAACATATGCGACATTGAAAAACCTATTTCGAAAAAAATTTCGGATTCGCATCTTAATGCATTTTTAAGAGGCGAAATTTCTCCGGAAATTGTGCCAGATTTTTGCGATAAATCAGTTTTCAAAGCGGTTAAACTTCGAGCACTCAAACAGCCTGCGAAAATGAGAGAGGAACGATACAATACCCTCAAAATTCTTCAGGTTATCATCATTGCGCAACTCCTTAATGTGTAATGCTTAGTTAGCTTTGCATAATACGATCTAATTTCTGTATTTGTTCATTTCAAATCTTCTTTATTCCTGCTAATTATTCTATTTTATATTGCGATATTGTGACGATTTAATTATGCATTTAATTATGCATATTCTTTAAATATTGCGATTTTTATTATAGTCGATCAAAGCGTTGAGTGAAAAGAAACGTATAACTGGGAAACCGTCTTCAGTTAGCAAGCAATTTCAATACTCTTTGTCTAGTCTTATGAAAACGTTAGCAAAGGCGACTCCATATTTTATTCGGTGTATTAAATCAAATAATGAAAAGGTTGGTCTTTTGAAAATATCTTTCATATCTTTCATCATAGCTTTTCTCAAAGTTTGAGAGATTCTGAATGGCCAACTGTATCTCTATTCCCATGTGATTTTCTAGTGTGAATCGCCTACTCTAATAGCCAGAGCAGCCATTCAAGCCAGGAAAAGTGACAGTAGTCGTAAGAAAAAAGAGGAGAATTTGAAAATCGATCTTTGCCATCTTTTCTTTAATTAGAAAATTTCGTCATTTAATTATTTTTAAATCATCAATTAATCGCGATATCGTATAATGACCGTTTCCAGTATATATGGTATTTAGTTATGTTATATAGTAAGATAATTGCATTTTAACACCTCTTGAATTGCTATTTTGTTCAGATTGCGAATAAATTCGATGATAATATAATACTTCGGCAACTTCGATATACTGGAATGTTGGAAACGGTTCGAATAAGACGAGCAGGATATAGCTTTCGCATCGAATATAATGTAATGTTATGAATTTTGCAATATAGCTGTGTGCCAAATTTCTATCCTAGAAAAGCCATTCTTCCAGATAGGGTCGTTCGTTCATATCAATGTATTTCTTAAGTTTATGATTTCCAGGATTTCATCAAGCAATACAGAGTACTTCTATCCAATGATTTGCGAAGTACGAAAGAAGACGTCAAAGAATTTTTTTTGCAACATCCACTAATCGAGTCAGATAGAATTCAATTTGGAATAACAAAAGTATGCAGTTGAATTTCATGCTTCATTTCAGCTGCCGTGCTTTGTTAATATGAGAACGAGTGGGAAGGGAACGGTCAGAGAGGTTTCAGATTCAGTTGTTCTCTGCATATCCAATTATTCTTCTTCTGGGGTTAAGTTCGGGAAATAATGGAGAGTTGATCTCTCTAAAACTTTCAACATTATTTTTTATTCTGCTTCAAAGTTTTTTGAAAATCTGAAAAAAATTATATGCAATATATCATATAAAATGGTATAAACATTTTTGCTTCAACTTTATCAATGATATATGCAAAACTATTGAAAAATTCTAGCAAAATATTTATTTTCAGATATTTATGCGCGATTCAGAAAAGTTATTAATCGACGATCAACTTCATCGAATAATAATGCAACATATAGAAACGCTACAACATTGGTTTAGAGCATTTTTGGCGAGGGCCAAATATTTGAAATTACGTAAAGCAATTATTGTTTTGCAGGTACTTTTGCTCTTCTTGATTTCTTCGTTGTTGTTGAATTTCGAGTTTTTTTGGTCATTTTATGTCAGAATTAAGACAAATACATATGTGTAAACAAAAAGCAAATATATGTAAACAAAAAATGTGAGAAGTTTAACGGTTAGAAGTCTCTGATAAACCTATTCCACTTCAGGATCTCATTCCGTTCCACTTGCTTTTATTTTGAATGAAGGAATTTTTAGTTTGAGAATTGAAGTTGTTATGTACTGCAAGATTCGTCACCACTTTTTTGGTAATAATTTTTGAAAATTTAAGTTTTTTTCCCAACTTTGGACTTTAGGCTCTGGCACGTGGAATGTTGGTGCGAAATCGTCTTCAAGAAAGGATTAATGCTGCCATAATTATCCAGTCGAACTGGAAACGTTTCTTAGCAGAACGTCGCTATAGGCAAATTCGAAATACAATTATAACAATTCAGTCAATGCATAAAGGCAATCAAATGAAGATTCGGTATGACTTATAAAGATCTCAATTTAACCGAGAATAGCAGGTAAGTTTCAAAAACTCATCGTCTGTCTTATTCTTATTTATATAGAGGAAGTATGGATATTTGGTCATTTTCTGGATAATTTAATCTCTGGATTCCACCATAAATTAATTTATTTATCCTCAGCTCTCAATTCTTTGAATCAAATCCGCCTCAGAATTTTTGAATCAAAATTGTTTTCTTTTATAAGAAAAATTATTTTTATATTCATGAATATTTATTAAACAAAAAAATTCTAATGAAATCCATAGGTTCAAATTCTACTTAACCCATTAATTAAATTTTCATTTTAATATGTAATATTTTATTTATTGCGTAAGAAGTTTTAAATCTTGTTGTAAATCTTGTTTAAATCTTGTTTTAAGATATGAAAATATGAAAAAAGCCAGCAAAAAAACAAATGTTCCTAAATTTGGTATAACAAATATAGTAAAGAAAAAGAGTTTGGCAATGTTCGATTTGAACGATCCTGAATCATTGGCTATCTTCGCCGTTTCTGATGATGAAGATGAAGATGCCTCAGTTATTTCAAACTCAAGCTCATTTCTTTATGAAAATGAAGATGAAGGACATGATAGCACTATTAGCGATACATCGGAAGCTCATAGGTAGTCAAAAAAACGTAGCCTAATGAAAATATTTCTTCTAACGAAGAGAAATTTTCTACACTCATCCTCAGAGGCAAAATGCTTAACAATGCAGTTAACAAAAATTTAAGAAAAATTAATTTTTTTACCCTCTGAATGTTAATCTTCAGCCAAAATTATACCATATATTGAATAAATTTATAGCAAATAATCCATAAAAACAATGAATCCAGTTTTAGCCTTCAGTCTTAACTGCTTTTAAAATCGTGCATAATTTCAATTTTGAATTTTTAGTACGGAAACTAATATTAATCTGAATGCAACATTTATCGTCGAAGACAAAAAGCTTAAATTAGTCAAGCAAGTTTTTTTTTCTTCTTTATCGGAAGCCACATAAATTTTAGATAATTTCAGAATTAGAAGCGTTTCATTATCTCAGGAAAAGAATAATTATCAAAAATTTCCAATATTCTTTAAATTCTAAAGTAGTAATGAAAATTAATGGTTGAAGATTCAGGTTTCGCAAAAAAACGTAGGAAAAAAACTGTAAAAGCAATAAGAGAGGGCCGAAAGTTTTTCAAAGTTTTTTTGTTGATATCATTAATTTTTAGCGACAAAATCGAAGCAGATTTTAAAAGACGGCAAAGCCTTGCGACAACAAGTTCATCAACTAAGGTAATTTATAGAATGAAAACAAACTGTCAAACTGTCAAATCTAAATTCCATTTTCCACAGGCTGTGATTTTCTTACTATCGCTTGAATTTTATCCAGTATTCACCGATCCATTAATTAAGCGGAGAATAATAAAGATTAAAATATTAATTATAGATTTAATTAATAGGTCATTTATGAATTAATGAATGGTTTTCATTCTATAGCCTAAAATATTAAATATTACACAAGGATAAATTTTAAGTCACATTTTTAGTTACGAATGTTGCGCCGAGCAGCGAGCACTGAGAACGATCGAATTGTTAGTAAAGATGAAGCCTCAGCTGAGCCACAGGTATCAATAAATTTATTTATTAAAAATGATTAAGAATGGCGTTCGTAGCAGTTTTACGAAATATCATTTGATTCACATTTGATTTATTTGATTCATTTATTTGGTTTAACGCCACTTCCTTTTTCAATTTCAGAGCCCCGAAACCAAACACAAATCGAGACGAATGGGTTTCACTAAGGCCAAAAAACAATTGAAAGCATTTCTAATTAGACGAAATGATCTTGGAACTAGCGACGATGATGAAAGAAATGAGTCTCACATGAAGTAGAGCATTTGGTGTTCAATTAAGTTCACAAAACCAACTTTAATGATTACTCAATTATTCTCTTTATTTTGAGAGTTTCTGGAAAATGACAATATCTGAATATAAATAATATCTGAAAATAATCCTGGAAAGTCGCACTTATTGAGGAACACAATACCAATTTGTGCGAAGTACTTGATAATATCATTTATAGAACTAAAATTTAAAAAATCCTGTGCCTATTTTAACTTTTTTAAAGCGTCGCTGCAGAAGAGTCGAATGGAGCATCTAGGATACGTAAAACGCACAGCATAAAAATGGCTCGACTGCATCGGTCAGAACATTGCGCTTTATGTAATAAAAATCTTACTGGAATACTTGGTCTCAATCACAAATGCACAAGTATTTTTTAGAGGAAATTTTATATAATATTTAATATGACAAACAAAATAAGATGCGAAAATAATGTGTAATCAGACTGTAAAAAATCTAAAAAAAAAATTGGATAAGAATCATAGTTTTTTAAAAACTGGATAATGGAATATTTGCTAAAGTTAGGTCCTTCGAAATGTGAGCGGTACCAGGCATTCATCGATGTATAATTCTATCATTAAATGATTCTATCAAAGAGGTCTGACTGCAGTAGCAAATGTCAGTCAAAGCAAAGATGGTTTGTTAGAAAAACTAGAAACAAGGGACTTAGCTTTCCGGACGGTTTTCATTTGTTTAATTTCAATGAAACTTCCTGATATCTCGGTTTCAGATTGTAAGCTATCGTTTCACAAAGAATGTGTGAACTTCGCATCTAGTATTCCGTGCCAAATGATAGATCTTTCATCAAATCGGCATGATATCACTCCGCCAAAAAAACCTTTGCATCCCAGGTTTTGATCAATTCACTAATTCTTTTTTTTTACTTATTTTGGTTCATTGAAATGACGGCCAAATATGATTGAAAATTAATTTACGAGTTCTATTTCAATTTCTTTCAAATCATATTTCTAAAATAATTTTTTCGGCCTGAATAATTTTATATACAGCAAAATGCAATATGGATTAGCTCCGCTCAGTATTCAATCTCCGAAAAAGTTTAATCTATTCAAGACTAAACAACAGGTGAAATTTTCCACGAAATAATAGAATTTAACTATAGATCAGTTATTCTTTACTAGGTAAGAGATAATTAACCATTCTATTGTTGTGATGAGAAATTGCCAGAGGGCCACTTAGAGACGATCAAAGCTGTTGCCTTTCCAAATCATTTGTGCCCAGATCATTTGCCGCAATATTTCGAAGGTTTCTTGCTGTACATTTGAAATGCAATTTTTTATTATAGAATAAAAACAAAATTGTTCAGACAGACCCGATGGATTTAGTGATTGAATCAGTCGAAGATCTCAAGCAGTTCAGTGCATATATCGCTTACAAATTGAAAAGCATAGAAAAAAATATTAATAGAAGAGATACAGCTGTTGATGCGATATTTAAGGAAGCTGTAAAAGAATTCCGCTTGGAACTTATCAGCAACGAACCTCATTTACAAGTAATTTTTCGGGCTTTTATGTATGTTTTCGATAAAAGAAGAAAAGAAAAGATGAAAAAAAACGGATAAAGATGTGAACTGAAAACTCATTCTGAATTTAATAAATAATATTTTCTGGGACAATTTTTTATAATGATTTTTAAATTTTTATGGTTAAGAAATGTTAATTCTTGCAGGAGAGTAAAACAGTGTTGAAATATCGAGATCTTATCGCTAATTTTGAAGGCTCTTTAACAAAAGTCTCGAATAATGAACAAGTTAAAATTTATTACAATTTTGTTTATATTTAATTAAAAATTGATCTGAATCGTTCATTTCAATTTTTTTATAAAAAAGTAATAATAATTAGTAATAATAATAATAAATAATAATTAGCTAGGAAAATTAAAAATATATTATAAAAATATATATTTTTTGTTAGCACCAGCTATCGCTTCTTTAGTTGGAAGATTTCTGGCCAACACAACACAACACCTTTTAATATTTCAAATAGATCTTGAAAAGAGATTGGAAAACAGAAATTTTACGGAAAATATTTATCTTTTTAAGCAGTTTTTATCTAGATTTTATGTGGACTACCTGAATTTCATACTTTTCAAGCATAATTTTTTAAAAACTTTCAATAGAAACGCACAGGTGAGATTTCCAACTACACTGGGAGTGAATGCATTTCGTGGATTTGTTAACAGTTATGTGCAAGAAAGGAAATTAAAATGTGCACCGAAAAAAGCAAGTGTGCTTCAGGTGATCAATTATTTATTTTTTGTGGTAATTTTCGCTTCTCTAATTACTTCTTTTCTATTTATATAAATTTTGGTGGTGTTTTTCTGAGTAATTTATTTTACAAAAAGTTTTTATAAAAATATCTGAAAAAATGTCTAAAATATTTAAGAGCAATATGTATTTGAAATGAAAATTTGTAGGATTTTATTGCTTCCTAAATTAGTTGGTAAAGCTATTAATAAAATTGAAGATAGATTGGCTCAATGGGCTTTTGCCCATATTTCGAGGACATATAGATTTTAAATCCAGCAGGAGTAATTAAAGAAAATTAATAAAAATTAAATTTAAAAAAAACTTCAAATAAATTTAAATTAATAAATTAATTAACTTAAATTAATTAATTGGTTAATTAAAATAAATTTCGCCAAATAAAATTTACTTAGTCCAACAAGATAGCGCAAGAAGCCCAATTAAAACAGTGAACGATACTAGAAAAGTTGCGAAATATAATGCTCAAATATTTCCCATGAAAATTTCCCATGTCTTAACCAGTTGATTTTTCATTTTATTTTTATTTTTTCAATCCTCAGAAAATAATTATTTTAGCTAAACATTTGCAGAATGTTCGAAAAAAGAGGCGTAAATCAGATGCTACTCTTGTAAGTTTTCTCTTCTATATCGTCTTATATAACATACTTTTTCGCATTTACCACCGCATCCCTACAAAAAAAATATTCTCAGTAGACTGTTTTAGAAATTATATGTTATTCCCATAAATGAAAATTGTTAAACAATCAAAATTTTAAAATGGTTGTAACGAATATATTTTTTTGGAAAATTAAAAGTTACTGAATTTTTTCCAAAAAAAAATATTTTATATATAAGCAAAGAAAATTTTTGGGTATTCTCCTCCTTGAAATTAGAGCCACGGTTTCGCTATTTTTCTGAAGTTAAAAATTAGAAAAAATTGATAAAAAAATGAGTTAAAGAAACATAATTATTAATGTTATTTGAAATTTTAATGAAATTTAAAAAAAAAAATTTCATCGACCTCTAATTGATTCCTTAAGTTTCATTGAATCCTTTCAAAATTCTATTGACTTCAATAGGCTTATGTCGACCTTACGAGAAAACAACCACTATCCACTCGGCTATCTTGCCCCTAGCAATTATAAAAGATTCAAAGGAAGATTTTTGCTTAGGCTTGCGATTCATTTAGGCAGCTTATTTGCCAAAAGGAAGGTTAAAAAGTTCTCTTTTAGAATAAATTAATATAAATTTTTTACCAATTTTTCATCCATTTCGGTTTCGATAAAAAATTTGAATTTTCCAAGCCTATAATATCAGATACTTTATTAATCATTTCAAGGATGTGGCTGTACTAATGTCATTTTATCATGAATTCATAAGATCATAAACCATCCTTTTCTAAAATATCCTAAAGCATGTTGATTTTTTTGATTTTGAAGTATTTTTTTTAGCAATCTTATTTTTGTGAAGAAATCTTTGAATGAATTTAATGAACGAATTCTTTTTTCTACTAGTTTACTGGTGATTATTCAATTTAAGCACTACAAAGGGCATCGATTTAAACTAGACCTCATTCATCTTCCAACTTGTTGTGAGGTTTGCGAAGGATTCATGTGGAATACGGATAAAATGTATACTTGTGCCAGGTGTAATGCTACTTGCCACAAAAAATGCCACTCGAAAATAAGCAAAGTTTGTCGAACATCTCCGTCACCTTCGGTATTGTACAGATTTTTTTTCGTGTAAAATTTAAATAAAAATTTAAATTATCTTGCTAAGTAGCTCGGGTATAATTTTCTAATCTTTAAGGTAGCTAGCAAATGAAAAATGTTCAGACCTCTCATTCAATATTTCAGTCTGGTAAACGATTCTTTGGAGCAAATTTAAATACGCTGGTTAATGATGATCGGAAAATACCAGTAGTCATTGATAAATTATTCGCAACTATTGAGGTCCATGCACTTTATGTTGAGGGTATCTATCGCAAAAGTGCGGCTATCGCGCAAGTTCGAAATGCACGTAATTCCATTGAAAATTCATCAAGTAAGAATATAACTATTCAAAATTACTCATTTAAAAAGGAGTTCACTTTCAAAAGTTATTTTTCACATTTTAATAATTATATTATTAATTATATTATAAACATTTTTCCCGAAAAAAGAAAAAAATTTATTTATTATAGCACCATAGATTAATTTATCGGCATCGCTATTTTAGGTTTCGAGGACCTTTGCTTTAATGATATGCCTGTTCATGTGATGGCAACTCTAGTAAAATGCTTTTTTCGAGAATTACCCGAACCTCTTATCACGTTTGACTTATATGAAAACTTTCTAAATGCTTCAGGTTAGTTTGCTTAAGAAATCTTACATTTTTTAAATCTGTATGTAATAAATACCCACAATTTCTGCTTTTGCTGGCCGTTCCATTGAATGTCAGGATATAAACACATCAATAACGTCATCTAAAAATACAGAAGCAAATGAATTCCTGATGGTATCTGGATTTCATGGCAAGCTTACGTTAATCAATTGAGAGAAACGGAACTTTCGATGACTTGACTTTGGTCGAGGCATTACTTCTTAACATTTTCTCATTAATTTGTCATTTATCGTGTTTTAGAAGTTGAAGAAAAACATGAAAGGATTAGATGTTTAAGCGTCATCGTTGAACTTCTACCTCGATGCAATAAGGCCGTGTTAGATCGTTTGGTTTATCACCTAGCCCGAATAGCGCAACAGGTAATTATTGGTTACAACAGAATTTTAATATATTTATTATTTATTAATTCTTTATATTCTTATTTCTTCCTTTATTGTTCGGCTGCTTGTTTTTCTACAAAACTTCCATAATATTATCAAATTTTCTCATAAAATTGTATAAAATGATTGTTTGACTGCGCATTTTTGCAATTCATCTATAAAAGTTCAAATTTTGTTGGCATAATATGGCTTTAAATTTTAGGAATCAGTGAATAAGATGAATTCTTCGAATCTCGCCTTGATATTTGCACCATGTATATTACGCAATAATCAAATAGTACATGCACAGGAACAACTCAGAGACATAAATCGGCAAGCAATATGCGTGCAATCACTTATCGATGGAAAATTGAAACAATTTCGTTCAGCAATTAATGAATTAGTCTCGCTTGAACATGTCAGCGATAAGGTTCTATTTTATTAATTTTGCTTTTTGCTTTCTACTATTTTAACAATAATTCTACTATAATTTTTTAAATCTCAATCAGAGGTAGATAATCAAGATAATCATATGTTCAGATAACGAAAAATCTACAACTTCTTGACGAGCACAAAAATTTAGAAAATATTACGGGAAAACATATGCAGAACATAGACACGGCAAGGCAGCTGTTCATTGAACAGCTTGATTTTTTGGATAATGAAAAGTTGGTCCTATATGCATTCTTATAACGAAATAAAAACTACATTGCACATTTATATGCAAACCGATTGACCAATAAAGATAAGAATAAAAATTTTAGTTGGAATTGATACGAGCTGATAAAAAAAGGAAACGGAGATGAATTAGAAATGCAATAAAATAAAAATATTTATTCCAGAGAAAAACTGATCCAAGATTTTCCGCCACTTGCCCCGGTAGCATCATCAGAAGATTTATCATCTAGCGATGAACATAGCAACAACAATTTTGCTTTTAAAGGACATCGTCAAGAAGAATATGCTCTTGATCTAGAAACCCCACCGATATTTTGCACGCTCAAAAATCTCTCTTCTACTCGGCCTCGAAATCTAAAAAAAAGGTCGCCTTCGAATCAATTTAGACGCTCAATTAAAAATGATTTATGTTCATTTGACATTATTATTCTATAAGTTTTGTTGTAATATTAATTATGTTAATTAAATATTTATATTTGCTTTAAAAAGTAATTAACTTCATGGAACACGAGGAAGAAAGTTGAAAAGAAAAAAAATTAATTATAAGGAATTATTCTACATTAATTTATTTTATTTAATTAACGTTGCTGTCTCAAATGCGTTTTCAGGAAAATGCTTTTTATGCAAGTCATAGTTTGCTTCTTTTTATTTTAAGACTGGCCTTGTTGTAAAGAAAAATGAAAACTCGAGAAAACTTCTGATTTAAAATAGCTTTATGGTGAAGCCTCGATAACGGGTCTTTATAAATATTTTTCTGTTTGACTTATATATCCGATATTAAATAATAAAAGTAAAAATAAAAAGGCGAAAAGGTTTTTAAGGTTTTATTTCCATATTCTTTTATGATATCTCCAAAATTCGATAGAAAGAAATTTTTTCAACAGAAAAATATTTAGAATTTTGTTGTATTATACTTTATTTTGTTGCATTTTTTTTTCATACTCTTTTATTATTGAATAATAGCTCTATTGAATACTGAATTGAATAAAACCGTCCAAGGCTCCAGCAGAATTTGTTACATTACTTTGCCGAATATTAAATATCTTTAATTATGAAGCACTCCAATTTGAATCATAGAATTAATTCAGATATCTAAATATGAATATGTTTATGCACCTAAACATAAATTTAATAAGATTTAGAAAAATCAACCAAATCTAATTCATGGAAACTCACTAGAAACACAAATTGATAAATTTCTGATAGCATTTATGGGAAATTTAACAAAACAATGTTTTGCAATAGAAAAACTTTTAAAGCAATTAAAAATGAAGTAAAGCGAATATAATATATTATATTAACAAAATTTGTAAAAAAGAAGTGATCGTTAGCGAAATTTGGGAGATAAATGAATGTAATTAATTTGGCAGAGTGGAAGAATAACCATACTTAAAAAATCAAAATTTTGTATGGCCGTAATAAACCATAAGCCGAAAGGAACATCGCTATAAAAGGTTATAGGTTATTTATTTTAGGTTATTTATAGTTTATAGGGTCGCTTTGATTTATTCGAAGCAGTTATTTAATTGGTGGAGTAATCGACAGAATTATTTAAAATATGAAAAATGAATATTTAGACTAAATTAATATTGCAAGTTTCTAAGGATGACGCATAAATAATTATCTGCGCTAAGCAATTCATTTTTTTTATCTAGTTTTCTTTCTGATTACTTGGGTTCTTTGCTCGGATGCGTTTCTCCAGGCATTTTTCTTCTCTTCACGGCAGAATATTTTTATTTTTGATATAAGTGACACCTTCGCCGAAGACTTAGTGATGAAAGTACTGATAGATGCACGATGCATATCTCCCCCACACTGCTATTTTCAATGAATTTTTTTCGTTGAGGGAGAGAAAACAAACCTATATGACTTGGCCAAAACAATGTGCAATCTGCCATTTTATCTCATGTGATATAATTTCATGGAGTGAAAAAAAATTGGCTTGAGATTGATTGAAGAGAATAAAGTCCTGCTAAACGAAAAACATCTATAATTTTTCGAAAATTTTTTTTCCATTGAATTGAGAAAATGTACTGAATGTAAAGGGATAAGGGAATGTATATTCCCTTAAATATATTATCCAGACAAAATAAATAAATATGTCTAAGGATCTGAGGAAGTGATTTTCTTCGAGTACGGAGAATGAGTAAAAGGTTGATCGGCCAGGTATATTGTGGTTGGTTGCTGATCTGCAGTATGCACTGGTTTTATTCCTTGCTTCCAACGCTAAAATGCAAAAGTTTATTTCTTATCGCTATACTCTTGTATTGTTTTATATCACCTTTACTATTGTAATTTTTTAAAAAATTCCCAAAAAATATTTCTATGTCTAAATAAAGAAGAAATAAAACCTTTTATAAAATTTTGTTTCAAAGTTTACAGTCATTAGAAATTTCAAAAAATTTTTTCCGTTTCAAAAAATATTCTTGATTTATTTCTGTGAATTTATTTTTCTGATCACATTTCAGTTAAGTCTTCTTAAATTTTTAATTTTTTTTGCCAAACAACTTTAAATAAAATAGAATAAATTAAAATTAAATCAATTGAATCAATCAATTAAATTAAATAAATTATAAATCAAATCAAATAAATTGTATAAATAATATATACACATTTTATATATACACATATAGTTATATATATATTTTTTATATATTATATATATATTTTTAAATTTAATTGCCTTTTTATTTTCATTTTTTTTATTTTTTAAAAAAAATTTGATTATCTATTTTATTATTCTTCAAATTTAATTTTTTTTTTTGTCTTTGGCAGGACCTGCTATTATGTCAAAAATCCAGGTGGCTTCTGACCCACCTGTAACTCTATCCCTATGTAACTCTATGGTGAAAGGGTTAGATACGACGTTCGCACCTCACAACGCTTATGATACTCCGAGCCCGATGGTACATGCGATAAGTATACAATCCGGCTTAAAGCGATCCCAATGCTAGTAAATAAAATGTGCTCGCAAGCCAGGGTAATTGCTCGAAATCTATCAAGAGGAACAGTCCTCTGTACGTGCGGAGAGGTATTAGCGGTATCAGCGTGGAACGTCTAACGCTTATGGACGTTGCAAGCCAAGCGATCATTGTCCACACCGTGTCTAAATATCGTGTGGATATCGCTTGTCAGAGGCCCATCTTCCTCACTTTGGGTCTTGAGCAATTATTAATCCTGGTTGAGAGCAGAGAAGCAGAGATACTGGCTATATCACTGTGGTGCTTCGAATAAATCGGGATGAAATGGCGTAGTGATTGCACTGTCTGACAAGGCCCAATACGCTTTGATTGAGTGGAGACGACCGTATAACCCATCCCGTTTTAAGGGTAAGTTCTGCAATATCTCGGTCATCAGTGTTTATGCTCCAACTCTATCGGCAGATGAGCATGATAAAGATAAGTTCTATGCGGAATTTCAATTGCCAACAAAGTCTTTACCGAAATATGATCATAATCGAGGGAGACTGGAATGAGGGCGTAGGTCATATTGCCGCTGCGATGACCTCGACAATTGCCAAATATGGAGAACGGTGCGCCAATGAGGAACTTTTTCGTTATACGTAAGTACATAAACTTTTTGTTACTAATATTTGCTTTCGGCATCGTAGAAAACATCTAGTAACGCGGAACTCTCCGGATAACCAACACTTCAACCAGATTGATTATATCTTAGTCATTGATTATATCATCGCCGTTGGAAGAGTTCCGTACTAGATAGTCGTTCCTATCGCGGAACTGAAACGAACAATCTTCATCTTCTTCATGGATCTGCCATGTTATGGTTCGAGCCAAGATCCGCATAAAATTGATAACTCGCAGAGAATAGCATCTCCGAAAATCTTTCAGTTATCTCAAACTAAAAAATTCGGGGATAGTGAGCGCATTTCAAACCGAATTATAAAAGCATCTCAATGATAAATATCAATGACTTTTCTGGAACGGCAAATGAATACTGGTCCAAACTAAAGGAATGTATCCGGAAGTCAGCCACTTCCACGCTAGGGTATACTAGTAGGAAGTGCACTAGTTGGGTATCGGAAGCAACTGTACAGCAACTTATTTGAAAAAGCTGCCAAAGCACGAATGACAGGTGATCCTGACTACCGGGTGCTTCAAAGATTTGCAAGAAAGCAGCAAGGCGGGACAGAAATCACTATTGGAGTGACATGGCCTCAAGAATGGAGGCGACGGCTTAATTAGGCGACAGTAAGAAACTATTCTGCCTTCTTCATAAAGCAATTATTACTCGGGGAACGATCAGTGAAATGGTAAGAGACAGCAATGGCGTACTGATCAAAAGTATTAAGGATCGCCACATAAGATGGAAAGAATTCTTTGAGACCAAACATAACCATGAAGCCGTCTGTTGCCCCTGATTTAGTTGATACGTTTGCCGAAGGATACGCTTGCAATTGCGAGCCTCCAACAGAAGAAAAAATAATTTATCAGTAAGCTTAAGGCCAATAAGGCTCCGGGAGAAGATGGTCTTCGGGCTGAGCTTTTCAAATGATGTCCATTGTCCTTCATAACGCACCTTCAAAAAATGTATTCTTTAATATAGAAAAAAGAAATATTACCAGATGATTGGAGCAAAGCAATTCTGCTCCCAATTCTCAAGAAAGATAATAGGACATACTGTGACAATTATCGAGGAATCAGCCTAGACCTTTCAGCGAAAATTTTTGCTTCCATTTTACTCAACAGATTTATGGAAGCACGGGAGCCAGCAGGATGCGCCCTAATCAAGCTGGATTCAGGCCGAGACTAGATTGTGCTAACCAGACATTCACGTTAAGAAAGGTGTTGGAACATCCCTTCATCTCTTCTTCGGATATTTGCAACCCATTGTCACGTGTTTTATCGACTGCTCTCGATTCAATTGATAAGGCACTTTGAAGGGTGATGGAACGTGACGGCCCAGAGAAAATCATTCGACTCATAAAGGCATTTTATGCGTCCTTTCCCCCACAATATTCAACTGGATAATGGACACTGCTTGTCGGCACTCAAGAGGTGTCCGAATCAGTCCAGAGCATCGTATCACAGATCTTGAATTTGCTGATAATGTAATCCTTTTTACTTATAGTTATAACGAAATGCAAGTAATACTAAATAACTGCAGTCAGGAACTGCAGTAAGAATAGAACTCAGGATCAATGTGTACAAAACGAAAATCTTTTCGTCTTA